ATTCCAATATTTCAACAAAAACCATCTTCCATAACAAGCTGGTGAGCTCGTGAAATGAGCAGCTATATCAAGTTTTACTCTTAATCCCAACCATTTTTATAGGTCTTAATTATAAAGGGAAACAACTTGATTCGCATGAAAAAGTATCAAGTTTTAGTCTTTAATCCCAACCATCTTTACAGGTCTTATAAAGGGAAGAATTTGATAAACATGAAAAACTATCAAGTTTTAGTCTCTGAACCGGCCGTGACTCAAACAAGCTTGGACTCGCTCCGAGACGGCGTCGCTGAGGTACCTTGTGGTTGTGAAGCGGGGAGGAAGAATGTCTCGGTTCTCAAACTTGCGGCGGAACCGGCGGAGCTGCTCCCCCGTTTGGAACCACAAGAACGTCCCATCTTCATATTTGTGGCTCTTTGTGTTTTTGGCTTTTTGCCTGCCATTAGCTAGAGAGAGATTTGCAGGGTTCTTGAAAGAAAAAAAAAAGAGCAATGCTAAGATTACACCAAAAGATGTACCTCAAATGTACATCATCCCCTTCTCCACTACACATTTTTATTTAATTTTTATTTATTTATTTATTTTAAATTTTTTTGCCTTTTTTAGTGGACAAGGAGGGGGTGGAGACATATGGGTACACCTAAAAGGTGTAACCCTAGCATTTTTCAAAAAAAAAAAGAGATTTGTAGTTAATAATGGAAGAATATCACCTATTTGTAGTTAATGATGGAAGAAGGGTTTTGAACCGTCAGAATTTAGAGGATCGAAAATAGGCAATAAAGATGAGCTGCCATGGTCTGGTAACGGTCAGAATTTTTGCTTAGACAATCGATTATCTTTTTCAGATAATCGATTGTTTAAAAGAACGTCTTATTATCAAATTTCAATTTTTTTGAACACCATGGGTTGTTTCAGCTGCACAATCGACTATCGTCGATTACAACAAACTTTGATCACATATCGAAGTAATAGTGTGAACTTTACCAAAAAAAATAAATAAACCAAATTACTCGATCCATCCCTTAAAGATTTGTCTAATTTTGATTTTTTTGTTAAAACTTACAAACATAATCTATAAATTAAACAAAAATGATATTAGATATTGATTAAAAAAATTATTATTTTATTATGTAGAATTTTTTTCAAAATATTTATTATATATAATTTTTATTTAATTATACATTAAAGATTGAAAATAATTAATTGGAAAAAATTAAAACTAAAGAAGTACTCCAGAAAGAAGGTGGTAATTACTACTTTGACTTTGCTTGAGTAAAGTATTTAAATTTGGAATAAAGTAATTGTAAAGTATTTTTTAGAAAACTTTAGAAAAGAAAAAAATGAAAAAAATTTACTTCACAATTTTACTTCATATAAGACAAACCAAGGTCCCCTGTCCGAGAAATATCCTCTTAGTTACTACTACGTATTACATTTCTTAATAGTTTTTATTTGCTTGCACATTTTTATTGACTATTTTATAAAAAAAATATATTCTTGTCAAATCTTATTTTATAAAACTTTAGATATACTATTAAGATAGGTAATTTGTATACTTTAATTATATACTAATTTATAAATAAAATAATTTTAAAAGAAATAAATCTTACGCGTTTGAAGTAAGACAAAATTTTTGGGAGGAAGGAAATAGTACATCACAATCGTAGTTAGACAGGTATTAGGGAGTGGGGGCCTATGTTCCTCCTCATCGGACGTTATCAAAGAGGCGAAAATACTTCGGGGAGCCCAAACATTTGATAACAAATGCACACCAAGACTTACAAAGATACACAAAAAGTCATTGAGTGTCTATGTTAATCTTAGAGTGCATTTGGTGTCAAATGCTTGGAATCCCATAGCACTACTCACCAAAGAGGTGAGTTTTGAAGCTTTCTTCCCATGGACCATGCTACACTTACACCAAAACATATACTTCATTTGTACACCACAGTTTCGTACAAACATTTTGATGGTTTACACCGTCACAAGTGTTGGTGCGTTAACAAAAATTTACACGAACACAAATGTTGGTGCATTAAAAAAAATTAGTTTTACACCAACACAAAATGTTGATGCAAAACTGCGGAGTACAAATTGGGGTATAAATTTTGGGTACACATAGCATAATCCTTCTTCCCATTTCCAACACTCACCTCGGATTCCAATACTAACGCGAATCTTTATATTGAATACCACACCCCAAAGAATGTTCAAAATAACATTATTTTTAAAATAATTTTATTTACAAATTAGTATAGAAATAAAAACTATAAATTACATCATTTAAAAATACATAAAAAAAAATCTATAAAATAAGAGGTAACAAAAATATTTTATTTTATCAAACTATGAATGAATATATACAAACAAACAAAAGTTATCAAACAGTCGCATCCAATTCTGGACGGTGGGAGTATATCCTGAGGCATGGAGCACGAATGCACGATCAGTATTAACCCCAATGATTGATAATACAGGCAGCAAAATTTGTGCATATCTTTGATCCCTTCATGCAAATAAGGCTCCGGGCAAAAAAGAATATCAAAAATAGAATGCTTTGAGCTTGTAAATGGCACAATATGTTAACAGAACTTTCTTGGTTCAGTCTCATACTTTCTTTCTCCCTCTATTTCAATTTTTTTTCCCCTTTGAGAGAAAAGATCAAATCTTTCTTCAATTCTCTGATATTAAATTACAACTAACGAACCCTTTTTCTTCTAGCAGCTAGCTACTTCGTCTCTCGCTCGCTCTTTTCTTTCTTTCAAAACTTCATCTTTAACCTCAAGAAGAAAATAAAAAAAGTATGTAGTAGCAACTGCCAGTTATATTATATACATACATAGTAGTTCGATCGTTATTTTATACTCTCTTATATATAAATGTGATTTTGCAACTGCCAGTTTCAGCTGGGGAGTTGTTCACAACAGCGAAACGACTCCCTCCTCCCCCGCTCCCGCCCCTCCCTGCTGTGTTGAATGATGATGACGATTTTGATGCCGATGCCAATGCACCACCTCCTCCTCCTCCTCCTCATAATGATGACATTGCTACACTTCAAACGCTGGTGTTCTTGATGACGTTCATGCCTCGTGTGGAGGAATTACCACGGTTGATACCTGTTTACGAGGTCGTCGAGCTGGGAGAAGAGGTCCTCCGTTCAGAATTTGACATCCTCCGCGTCAGGGGCTACTATACTCTTGCCTCTACCATGACATACTTTTGGGTTGTTGTCGTTTAAGAAGAAGCTAAGAGAAAATCATAGGAAGAGGATACAATGAAATGTGGTTGAGCTGGTTCAATAAATCTTGCCAATGAGGCATCATCTCTTCGTCCAATGTGTAAGAGACATCATCTTCAACATCATCAGCATCATCTTGTGCTTGATCAACATTACCACTTTCATGGGTAAGGTCATGATCTCCAACTCCTTCTTGATCACATTCATCATCATCTTCTGCTTGATCAAAACCACTTTCATCATCAATAGCGTCATCAATGCTACTAGCATTTCCAACTCCCTCTTGATCATCACTTGACACATCATCCAAGACCATCAATGCTACTAGCATTTCCAACTCCTTCTTGATCATCACTTGACACATCATCTTCTGCTTGATCAACACCACTTTCATGGGTAAGGTCATAATCTCCAACTCTTTTTTAATCACATTCATCATCTTGTGCTTGATCAACATCACCACTTTCATGGGTAAGGTCATGATCTCCAACTCCTTGATCACATTCATCATCATCATCTTCTTGATCAAAACCACTTTCATCATCAATAGCGTCATCATCTCCTACTCATTGTCCCTCGGATTCATCCTGCAAGAGCTCTTCTTCACTATAGTAGTGTACGAGGGACAACGAGTAGAATTCACACACTACAGTATTTTGCTGACTTGTATTATTTTATATTTGTTGGATATGGAACAGGTCCAATGGCACACCGGGAGCATTACAGGCATTCCTATTATACCAATCTGTTCGGGCCATACGAGACTAAACAATATAATGTTTGTTCTTGGTTCTCTCTAGTCTCTATGTGTGTTTTACAATTTTTTCCTCATCTGTGAAGTGGTTATAACTATAATCTGATTAAGGTTATTATGAATTTTAGAGTTTGTTATAGATAGTTTATTCCCCTATTTTTTTTCTTTTTCCTAGGGGATGCCTATAGCCTTTTAGTCTTTCCTTTCATTTGTTCACATTCTTTGAAAATGTTTAGACCCATATCACTGTCTATTGATGATGAAAGTGGTTTTGATCAAGCAGAAGATGACGATGAATGTGATCAAGAAGGAGTTGGAGATCATGACCTTACCCATGAAAGTGGTAATGTTGATCAAGAACAAGATGATGCTGAAGATGATGTCTCATACACATTGGACGAAGAGATGATGCCTCATTGGCATGATTTATTGAACCAGCTCAACCACATTTCATTGTATCCTCTTCATATGATTTTCTCTTAGCTTCTTCTTAAACGACAACAACCCAAAAGTATGTCATGGTAGAGGCAAGAGTGTAGTAGCCCCTGACGCGGAGGATGTCAAATTCTGAACGGAGGACCTCTTCTCCCAGCTCGACGACCTCGTAAACAGGTATCAACCGTGGTAATTCCTCCACACGAGGCATGAACGTCATCAAGAACACCAGCGTTTGAAGTGTAGCAATGTCATCATCATGAGGAGGAGGAGGAGGAGGTGCATTGGCATCGGCGGCATCAAAATCAGGCACACATTTGGACAAAATCGGCGGCATCAAAATTGGCGGCATCAAAATCGGGCACACATTTCATCTTGGCCTTATGATCCGTTTAGTAACACCTTATTTGGCCTTTTTTTTCTATTCATAAAATAAGGCACACATTTGGACAAAATGGATGTTAGGGAACATGCAACCAATTCAGCAACTTCAGCCACAATTTAAGTAAACTGAGTTGTTTCCACCCATTTGTATTCAACCAAACGGGCTCTAAAGTTATGGCATCTTAAGGGAAAACAAAGAATAAGGGTTTATTATGGATCACAAACCTGACACCAGTTAAATCCCTCCATAACAAGCTGGTGAGCTCGTGAAATGAGAGAGAGACCATTGGTGGTGTGGTTGAACTGAGCAGCTATATCCTGTCCAAAAGTGTACCCAGCCCCCCGTGGAGAAATTCCCCAACCACAACGATCATCCGGATCAGACCATAAAAGATCGCACATTGGCCCTTCGTGGGGAACCTACACCAGTCCAAGTAGACTTTGTGAGTGATAGAAGAACACACAACAAGAAAACCGTCCAGTATAATCATGTCCCGTCTCTGTCGGGGTCTAGGGTTCAAGATATACGCACCCTTACCCTTGTAAAAACCAGTGATCCTATTTCTATTAGACCCTTGATGCATTCACCGCCCAAAACTTATAAGAAACTAAGCAGGGAGTTTTAATGTCATTTTGAATAAAAAAACACAAATAAAACATTGCAAAAGAAAATGTGAAGAAGAGCAAGGTGGCTTGGAAGCCATAACCCCATAAGCTCTTTCAGCCTTAGGTAGTTAGGTCACTAATGACTACCATTATGCAGTAGCTGACTTGTGGATAAAAATAAAATGAAAACCGAATCATGGGTCAAATAAAACAGATTATTGTGGGGGGGAAATAAATACTTCCTCTGTCCCAAAATTGAGTTTTTGTTTGACTTTTTACGATCTTTAATGCAATGTTTTGACCATTAATATCTATATTAAAACACCTCCGTGCAAACAAAACACCTACAAATGTTAAAACATAATTTAAACCAACAAGAACATGTGATAAGATCAGTCAAAGAATGCATGTACAACAGTTCACAAGTCACACCTGGCTCTCAATAAGGGCTGTCAGAGGAAGATAATCAAAGAGATCTGTAAAATGCTTCCAAACATTGGCATTTCCGTACTTCCTCAAACATTCATTGTAGAACCCATAACTGGTAAGAAAAAGATGAATCTTATATTGAATGAAAAAAATGTAGCTTTGCACAAGAAAGAATGAATACAGCCAAGGATGTTGGGAGGATTGCTTTGTGAAGGCAATAAAGATTTTTCGGTAAAAAAACAAATCAATATCACTTATTAAGTATGAAAGAAAGAATACAGCGAAGGATGACGGGATGATTGCTTTGTGAAGGCAATAAAGATTAGGAGCTCGTTTGGTAAGAAAAATAAATCAATAATCACTTACCGGAGTATTAAATGTGTAAAGATGAACATTTTATATAATTAGAGCAGAATAGGGCAAATTATTAGTGTTATCGGTTATCACCTGAAAATTTTCTGGAAAGGACATAAGACTGTCAGACATCCTTTTCACAGAAAATCAGTGAAATAGCAATGTTTATGAAAACACATAATTGGAAATTTCAATTCAAACTTAGGAGTAACATGCCAGTATGCCACGCATAGAAAGTTGTAGTAGGAATTCCTTAACATCAATTACGACTGAATCTCAGATGTAGACTTTAAAAGGGACAAGATTTCATTGTTTTCCATTTCTAAACTTGCCTTGTGTTACTTGAGCCGTGGGTCTCTGGGAAACACCCTCCCTACTTTCAAGTAGGGGTAAGGTCTGTCGACCCTCCTCTCATGGGCTCCAACTAGGCTGTTGGTATTATTAGTAATTTGCCTTTCCTCTCAGGCATTTTATTTAAAAAGCCTGTATTTAGTATAACTGTAATAGATTGAAACACCTTAAATAACACTTACAGTTTATAAACCAAATATACAATGAATCAATGAATTTGAAAATTGTCAGAAACTTGCCCACCTTGATGAAAGTTATCCGTCACTGAATTCCTTTCTACCCTTTTCCCATTATGTTCTTCGTCTATTTTTTTCCTTTTCCACACGTCTGTATAACTCTTTGTCAGCCCTAAGCATGGTTTTCTCATGTTCTGGGTCAGACTGATCCTCACTGAGGTCATAATCAGCATGTGAAGCAATGGCCTTCTGGAGACAGCCAACAAAAGCAATAGTTAATAACAGAACATGACACTGTGCAAATTTATGGCTGAAAAAACTACCTTTTCATCATTCAAGGGTTTCCCCCTTGTTAATGGAGAACTTTCAACATCCCAGTGCAAGGCATGTGTTCTATTGGAGTTATAACGGGCACGGGTGGCGGCAGAAGTGTCAGGTAGAAAATGGGTGACCTCCTCAAGTAAGTCAGGGTGTTGATGCAAAAGAGAGGCAACCTACGAAATGGAAGCATTACAATGATTAGCAAATAAAGCATAATAGCAGAAGACCAATTATTTTGAAATATCTACTGTGGTAAAGGATCAATATGAAACAAACAAATAAATAGAAATACCATACGCTCTGGTAAACCTCTGATATTGATTTACTTTCTTTTCTATACATGTTTAAAATGTCGAGAAAAGATTTATATACATAATCATCACCTTGAAATCTATCCTGCAAGAAGGGGAAAAATTCAGCATAATTGATTGTTAACCAAAAAAGGACAACATATGACTATATGAGAGATCAGAATTAAATGACATAAACCTTTATCTTGTTAACAAAATTAATTGCTTCATCAAACTCAACGGGTTTCCTCAAGGGAATTAGTTCATCTTCCTGTGGTAGGGTGATCTCGTATCCCTTCGGAAAAAAGGTATTGAAACCCATAATTAGGTCTCTATCTCCTCTAAATAGATCTTTTACCCTTGCTATGACACCAGATGTGTCAATCCTGCAAGAAATGACAACAATGATAAACGTTTCTGAGCTTCTTCCAAGGAAGACTCATCCATTTCTTATCTTGCAATACATCTACAGGAGTGTTATTAATTGAAATGTCATTTTGAAAATGTTTCTGAGCATAATTTAAAACAACAGTGTAAGCAGGTAACACAATAAATTAGACTGACAAGTCAAGGTTATTTACAACTCAAGTTTATGATATGCAATGGCTATATTTTCACAGCAAAAGATCAGTTGTAAAGGCATTGATGGCAAATATAGTTATATGGCACACACCCAGTCTTCCCATGCCTCCTTTATGAGAGAAACAAGAAGCACCGAACTCAAAGGAACAACATTTGTAATAGGTCTCACAGGAATGCACCAAAGAATTCAGATTAATACAAACACAATAGATCACAATAAACTGATGCAAAGATCATATAATCATAAATCTTCTTTTCAATTCATCCTTGGGTTTGGTTGGTCATATTTTCTTGAGGATTTCTCCAAGAGACAACATCTTTAATCCTTGACAAAAAAACATATTTTCTTGAAAACTCTTGCTCGAATGCAACAAAAATGTAAGAGCAGTGGCATCAAAGAAAAATAAAAAAAAATGGGTAGCACCTAGTATGAAGATGAGTTACATAATTTGCCGAGTTCTGAACCAGGGAAATCATTTTTTAAAAAAGGAAGAAAAACTTCATTAATGCATCGAAAGATTCAGAATACAAAGTAGAGGAAATGGGGAATACTTTCCCAAACACTGATATCCTATTATCAATAGTTAGCTCCGCTAACTTTCTCCTTGGGTGACCCACAAATGCCATAAACTTATCCAACATCATGCCTTTAGAGTTAGCCAATTGTCTCCTTTCCTTGGGTAACCCCCTCCCCTAGCAAAATCCGCGATCTAGGTGGGGGGGGGGGGTGGAGTTAAATTGCTAGGCGGGGCTTAGGGTGGTAGGAAACTTTGGTGTAAGCTGTAATGTTACAATACTTGTATTAGTGTAACATCACGACACCAGTTCAATTGGAGCACCTAAAAGTAATGATCAATTTGTATTAGATTGTTAGAGGCAATTTTTTTCCTTTTAAGGAATAAAAAAACAACCTTGTAGAGATGTTCTTCAGGTTGTTTAGGAAATGCTCCTAGTTGGGCTTCCTCTATTCCTTCTAACTTATATGCGTCATCATCACTCTCAATGTTTATCTCACTTGATTCATCATCTTCAGTTCTTTCATCCATATTATCCCCCTGCCTCACCGCTAATTGGCAGGTTGACAGGAAATGAGAGATAGAACCATCCATTTCACAAACAGAACACCGAAATTGGATTGTCGTAAATAAATGTTGTAACATTAAAAAAAGCTCGTATACATTGGTGGGAATTATTGCCTAAAGAGACTATGCATATATCGATTACTAAGAAAAAAATAAAAACTTCTTGGAATTTAAAACATCAAGTGCGTTAAACTTGGTCAGAGTTTCCGAGGGGGTTGGCAAAAAGTAGTGCAAGACTGGAGTTGCGGTTAACATGCTGGAGCTGGTGGCTAAGCAACACTTGACTTTTCGTGTGCGCAAATTGATTCGAATAACAAACGCAGGCATCTCAAAGAAGATGACGCTGTTGTCGTGGGGGTGGAAGGCCGCGAATTTGAGACCTTTTCTCCCAATGTCGGGCAGATCCATGGAAACAATCACTTTATGCACCAAAAGCCAGCTTGGCACATCCTCCTTCTCCTCAAGGCGCCACACACGAAGGGCCCGCTTGTTGCCCCAATGCTTGATGATCACATGGAGGCAGTCTTGACTCAGTCCGAATCCAAGTAAAGAGTCTTGTGTGACATCGTTTCTGACATCTGTACTTGAAGGTGGAAAATAACTTGGGGCAGCTAGATTTGGTTCCGGCAAGTTTATGGTGCGGCTAAGTTTATGATGGCTAGACGAAAGGGGAATGTTGAAGGGATTCCATGACACAAGAGAGTGGCCATTGAGCCAATGGAGCATTCCATTGTGGGACACTATGGGAAGGCTGGTTAAATAATGGGTGAGCCAAAAAGGATACCAATCCACAGTGTGTTCAGTCCATTGGTCTGTATCAGAAGAATATATATGAACAGGAAACTCGGTGAACTGCCACCGCGGACGTATTCTATTTTGAAAAAAAACACCTGCTATCAAGAACGGGGATACGAACCACATTAAAACTCAACGATCCAGCCAAAGTACTGTTGTGATCTTCCTCCTCCTTTATGATAAGTGCAGTGGAATAAGAGATGTAGTCGCGATACTGGATGCCAACTCTGATTCCAAGCGAGCGCGATGGTTTCGGAGTGGGAGGGAGTTCCATCCATGCAAGCATGTTCATCACATAGCAGCGGATGTCGCCGCCGAGGTCATCACATAGCAAAAGGAGGTCACGGCACGATGCTTTGACTTGCTTTAGATGAGGACCGGTGCAGCTGAGGAGGCTATGGGTGGCGTCCTCCCGGGAGTGGAGCACAGAAACCGCCGGGCCTGTGGCGGTGACAGAGACACCGAACTGGCAAACAAGAGTGAAGGAGCCGCCGCCGCGGTGTTTCTGGAAGGTGTTGTAGCGGTGAAGTATGGGGTGGAGATGAGGGAGTTCCATCCTTTGCAGACAAGCCTGCATCTGGTCACACTTCTGCCGCATCCCAAACGCATCAAGATCTCTACCACCAGAGATTCGTCCACCCAGGCCCTACTTCTCTCCGAAGTCGTCGTCATCCTCGTCTCACCTGTTCACAGGAATTTACAATCAATGATGACAAGAAGAATTCGATCTATAAATATATTGTGAGACATCAAACCCTGATGCAATTCTAACTAGGATTATTGTGACTACAATGAGGGGAGGTCCGACACAAGCCTCCACTCCCAATCCCTGTCTAACTAGGATTGTGGCGGGTGTGTGTGTCTGGGGAGTATATAATACTCCAGTCATGATTATTAAAAATCCCTCATTTTTTAGATTATTTAATTTACAAAGTGATATATCAATAAAAAATAAAAATTATATATTTAAGGTTACATGTAATAAAATCTTATAAAACGAGATGTCACAAGAATACTTTATTTTAATTTATAAATTGATATATCAATAAAAATAATATAGATTATATATTAAAAGTTACATAAAAAATCCTACAAAGCGAGATGTGATAAAAGTATTTTATTTTATTAAAGTACTTAATTAAAATATACGTATAAATAAATAAAAGTTATCGAAATGAGAGAAAAAATGCAATCTGTTTCGGGACAGAAGAAGTATAGTATTTCTTTCCTCTCAAAAATGGTCTCTCTTTTAAAATTATTTTATTTACTACTCCGTAATTGGTATAAAATTAAAAAATACAAACTACATATCTATACCTCTATACAAAAGCAAAAGAATTGGAGAAGGAAAAAAAAGAAAAAAAAGAAAGGAAAAAAACTATTTTCCCGCCCAAGTTACATGCCATATTCACCGTTGATTAGCCATCATCACTATTAATCCACAGCCTTTATGAAACTATGGAAATCAAAATCCATCAAAACCCCTAAATTAGTCTAACATTTACCAGTGGCTTCTCGACTTCTTCTTCACAATCTTCAGTCTTCATTCTTCAAAGTGCTCCAAATGCTCCCTGATTCTTTTTTTCAAATCATTATCTTCACTAGCCAGCCTTTCATAAATTACAGTGTCAGCACCCTGTGATAAAGATTTTTTAAAAATATCATTTCTTCATGTATTGATGTTTCACATGTTCCTGGCCTTATGAAGCTCTTACCTTACAGTACAATACAAGCCTGCCATCAATCAGGGTATTGGCATACGACAGACTGGCGTTAAAGTCAAGTTAAACTTCAGTCTTACTAAAAATGTGCAAGCATACTTCACATACATGTTTCAGAAATGTCACCTATTAAATTCAAGCACATTCAGGATTTCATATGGACTAAATGTGATGACTAACTTTAGTAAGCAACTAAGCACAACTCATGTGAAAGTAGAATACCTCAGATACCACTGATCCACAAGCATTAAAAAACAAGAGTAAATTCCATAAAAGGTCCCTAGTTATAGGTCGTTTTACATATTTAGTCCCTACATATCAAATATTACTAATTTAGTCCCCAATTATTATATTCATTTCCACAAATGGTCCTTTGTTAACATTTTCGTTAAGAATGTGGATAAAATTATAAATTCGCACTCCTTTCTCTCCTCAATTAAGCTTCCTTCTTCCCTTGCACTCCTATCCCAAACCCGTCACTGAGTTTCTAGCTTTGAACCAAAAACCAAAATTATCACTCTTCTCTCAATTGTTTATCTAACTGGATGAATGATCATTTAAATTTTGGATTTAAGAGCTTAAATTCAGTGACGAGTTTGGGAAAGAGTATGAGAAGATGGAGGAAGCTTAATTGAGGAGAGAGAAGTATAAATATACAATTTTGTCCACGTTCTTAACGGAATTATTAACAAAGGACCATTCGTGGAAATGAATATAATAATTGGGGACTAAATTAGTAATATTTGATATGTAGGGACTAAATATGTAAAACGACCTATAATTGGGGACGTTTTATGGAATTTACTCNCTGAGTTTCTAGCTTTGAACCAAAAACCAAAATTATCACTCTTCTCTCAATTGTTTATCTAACTGGATGAATGATCATTTAAATTTTGGATTTAAGAGCTTAAATTCAGTGACGAGTTTGGGAAAGAGTATGAGAAGATGGAGGAAGCTTAATTGAGGAGAGAGAAGTATAAATATACAATTTTGTCCACGTTCTTAACGGAATTATTAACAAAGGACCATTTGTGGAAATGAATATAATAATTGGGGACTAAATTAGTAATATTTGATATGTAGGGACTAAATATGTAAAACGACCTATAATTGGAGACGTTTTATGGAATTTACTCAAAAACAACTTCAATACTAAACCTAAAGATACGATGCCTGACAAGGTGAAGTTTCCCTAGGGTTTCCATTGAGGATGACACTCTTCCCCTAGAGTCTAAACTCTGTGAAGGATGAGTCAACCATATATAAACCCCTAATAGAAGGCTAGGACAAGTATTAAGAAACATGTGTTGGAAAATGTGGGGTGGCAAAAGAGTCACTAAGGGAAGCAGTTATTATGTGTCAAGAGAGTAGCAGACAAAGAAGGGAGCAAGAAGATAAGAGATCTGCATGATACTCTAGTTTCCTAACAATGCATAGTGTTCAATCAACTGGTTTCTGAAATATCACCAAACCTTTTCCAAATGAATATACTCCTGTATTAGGCTATTGAAAGCAAAACCTATCTAGTATGAAATTAATATGTATGTATGAAATTCTAAAGAGCCGCACTTGCAAAAAACGAATCCAAAATTCTTTGCAGCCACGACCAAAGAAGCCTCATCAGGTGATGCTGCCTGATATTGAATTTTTTCGGGGGTATCCTCTCCTTCTGGAAGTACAGTATGACATATTGCAAGGCATCTGAATAATTCCTGCAGAAAGATGGTATTAATTAGAATGCAAAATAAAATAGACAAGATCACAACATGAGCAAAAAATAATACTCCGTAAGAATTAGTGAATGTGCAAATAATAAAAAATAAGAAATACCCCTTGATTCACATGATAAAGTACTAAGAACTGTTTGTCGAATGTATGAATGTTAGAAACGATGAGCCACCAACTCGTAAAAGAGAGTTTTAGGTATCACTTATGCATTAATATTAATCTAAATTGTAAATGAGAGCTGAGTGTATAAGATCAAGAAATTGGATAGAAAAGAGCATGTGAAGAGTCTGGGCTACTAGTCCCCTGATTTATGCATCAATACACTAATAAACAAAGATGTAGATATGTGATTTCTTAACAAACATTTGTCTGTCATCTCTTCAAGTCATTGACCAGATTAGCTTTTGGTACAAAAAGGGCATCCCAATGACTGTAACTGTTTAACATATGGTTAAAGGCCATTTTGAATGGAGCTGAAAATTTTCCCCAAGTGAAATTACAGTTAGCATACTGAAATTTTAGCCATGAGTAGCTAGAATCATATAGATATTGAGCACGTTAAACTTCTTACATAGTCCTGTCACAGATGAAATCAAGCACTGTATATACTATAAAAAGAAAAAATTGGAGAAGGAATTTAAAACTGTTTAAAAAGTCTTGTATTCCACTTTCTTAGAGAGAAGTAGCAAGTTTTAAACATAAGAACACCTCCAGCTTTATGATACAGAGATGCAAAGATTACATTTATACAAAATCCAAGAGATTGATGAATGCTGATATTAAGAGAACATCAAAATATCAAATACAACCCAACCCAATCCACACAATTCTGACAGAAGTAAAAATCACAGAGGTTTGAATAAATGCTCAAATCCTACAACTTCCAGACTAAAACAATGCCAGGAGCTGGTGAAATAACGAACTTTCACGTGCTATAGCTAAAATCCAGCAACTGAATCAAAATCTGCAACAGATAATTAGGGTTTTGCTCGGGTATCTCTCGTAGTCATCTTCATTTGAATCTCCATCCCTTTCTCTTGATGGAGCAAAAAAGCTTGTAAGTATAAATCTTCGTGTTTACAGAGTGAGTATTAGAAATTAGCAAATTAACTAAAAATATAGAGAGAATCGATATACTATTTTGCGGTTCTCATATGAATGTTCGTGCGCGTGTGGTTGAGAAACTCGGAATGGAAATGAGAAATTCAAAATATAGTACGGAGTATGAAAAGGAGACAGCGCAAATAATGAAAATCGTCTTACCAGTCTCACTGTGTATTTCCAGTTCGTGCTTTCTCTCGGACGAAGCTTAGTGGTGGACTGCAATTTTCCGGACGAAGACGACGAAGGCTGGTGGGTGGGACTTCTTTACAAACTTTTTTTCCAAACCAGAACATATGTATATATGTTTGATAAATATTATATATGACAATGAGTACCAGCAGATTTGAGAACAAGTACCATATTGTTATTCAATACAAACATGAATAAACTTGGGTTTTAAATTCTCCATACTGAGAGAGTATAAATGAGTAGGAACGAATTGAATAGAGGAAGAAGTTGATGATGATACTGAACTTTTTAATTGTGAAAAAATTGAACAATACTTTGTTTCAGAATGAACTTTTCCTTATTTGAGAATGAGTATTGTTTTTTTAAGAATGAACACTATGCTATTTATTATAATTATATTAGACAAATGTATAAAAATGAGTACTTCTTTATTTTAAAATGAGTACTACCTTTGTCAGAATGAGTACTACGTATTTCGAAATGAATGTTTATATTTGTACGAGAATGAGTACTACTTTATTTCAGAATGAGTACTACCGGGATGTACCTATTTATAGGTACATCCGGATGTACCATATACCAACTCGTGGCTGCGCCGCTTCTGAATCGAAAAGTGGATGGACACGTGGCGTGTTGTCATTGCCCCATCACGGCATCGGGTGTGGTTACGTGGCGTGTACTTTTAACTTTTTCTATCAAAATTAATAAATTTTGACATTAAATTAAATAGAAATAGTATTATATATTGTTACAAGAATACTTTTATTGATACAAAAATAGGTTTTGTTAAATTAATTATATGAAATATTTTTAAAATATTATTTTATATAATTAAAATATAATAAATATTTTATTTAATTTTAAATCAAAAGTTGAAAATAATTAATTGAAAAAATTTAATATTAGATAAATACTTGTGAATAGACCACTTTTAACTTTTTCTATCAAAATTAATAAATTTTGACATTAAATTAAATAGAAATAGTATTATATATTGTTACAAGAATAACAGAGGGTAAACTACCTTTCACATACTCAGGCTGCCCTATCACTACAAGTAAAATGTCTGACTGTGATTTGTTCATTGAGAAGATAACGTCAAGGATAACAAGTTGGGCCACCAAACACCTATCATATGCAGGAAGATCTAGGTTGATAAACTCAGTTCTGTTTGGAATCATTAATTTCTGGTGTAGAATTTTCATTATTACTGGCAGGGTAATGAAGAAGGTGCAAGCCTTATGTAGAAACTATCTCAGGGGAGCAGCTGAAAAGTATAAAAGGGTCCCATTGGTTAACTGGGAAGACACTTGCAAACCAAAAGGAAGTGGAGGGCTGGGGTTCAGAAACGTAAATGCTTGGAATAAAGCCTTGGTGATGAAGCTGAACTGGGATATTGCAAACAAGAAGGATAATTTATGGGTTAGGTGGATTCATAGTAGATATATTAAGGGCACAAACTTCTGGGATTATACTCCAAAACAGGACACTTGCTATTATTGGAGGAGGATGGTAAAAGTGAGGGCAGAATTTGAGGGGATGAGAATTAATGGGGAATATACACCAGAGGAAGGGTATCAATGGCTCCTAGGCCAACCCCCCAAAGCAGAATGGGCTAGCGTGGTGTGGAATAGACTAACGATACCCAAACACCAATTCAACATGTGGCTAATCCTGAAGAACAGACTTCAGACAAGACAGAGGCTAAGTAAGTTCATCAATGTTGATACGAAGTGCCTGTTGTGTAATAATGGAGCAGAAGACATCAACCATTTATTTTGGGAATGCCCATTCTCCAAGGAGCTGCACAGTAAGATTATGGTACCCATGACTTGTGTAATTCAAGCTTCAAGTTTCCAAGAATATTGTGACAAGATGAGGAGACATGGAACCAGAAGGGAGAGAGGAATTTGGACAGCAGCATGGGGAGCAACTTGCTACTTCATATGGAAGGCTAGAAATACTAAGTGGCACCTAAAGGAGAATGTGAGGGTGGACGAGTGTGTCTCCTGTATTATGTTCAATATTAGATGTTTCATTAGTAGTAAACTGAAGAAGAGTAATATACTGTCCAGGTAGTAGAATTAAGTAGGGAGGAGTATTGAAGATTGTATGATCTTATTTTTGTGATGAGTTAATGAATTGTGAAGTGGTTCAAAAAAAAAATTATTGATACAAAAATAGGTTTTGTTAAATTAATTATATGAAATATTTTTAAAATATTATTTTATATAATTAAAATATAATAAATATTTTATTTAATTTTAAATCAAAAGTTGAAAATAATTAATTAAAAAAATTTAATACTGGATAAATACTTGTGAATAGAGATAGTATTGACTAAGGACATAGCCTAATTATTTGGAATGGTGAGTTACAAGTTTCTACTAACAGTGCATTATGCCATTATCCTTCCTTTTTGACATCGGACTATAGGAGTAGTACTTTTTTTGACGACATAGGAGTAGTACTTTATTTGTAAAAAAAACAATGTCAAGATATAACATAAACATATATAGAGTACTAAATAGGAATTTCATGTTTGTTTCTTAAAATATGAGTTAAAATATATATACAATGTCATTCATGCCATTATTTAATACCAAAAACTATTGTGAAATGTTCATACATCGTGCTACATTATCATGTTACAAACTCTTATGTTATATATAAAAACATAGAGCTTCTATTTTATTATTTTTTTCTAAATTTTGGGAGATGGGAGTATTGAAGAGGTTGGAGGTTTCAAGTGAGTTTAAAGTGGGGGGGGGATATCGATGGAGGATAAAGGTTAAGGGATAAGAACCATTAATTTTATAAACGGAACACTGTAAGTATTCATCTGATGCCATCGTCGTCTAAAATGATAATGGGGCCCTATGAGATGAAGTTCGTTCTTTTTACTCCTTGTAACTTGAATCGTAGCGTGAATTGGTATGAATTGCGAATTTGTAATCTTTCAAAGAATTAATACGAATTGGGCCCAACTTATCATCTTTCAACACAATACTCCAAGACATGGTCGGCTCAAAATTCTAACTCAAATAACACCTAACTTGTAATTTTTCAACAGAAAGCTACAAGGCCTACCGTCCTACCTCACAAACTTGAAACTCCTTAATAGCGATGAGGGTCTCGTCATCCGGGTGGTGATGTTGGTGGCCTCAATGGACAAATCATCTTTCAGCTCCTCCCCTCTAATTGCAAAATTTGATGCTTAAATGAATAAATTTTAAATCTAAAATGAAGTTGTTGGAAAGATTTATAAGCATAAGTTAATGGCCTTGTTTCGAACCTGGTTGTTGGCGGTTGGCAGTTGGCTGTTTATGTTGGCTGTTTCGAATGGCTGATTGAGTTAGCTGTTTAACCGGCTATTTGTGTTAGCAGTTTAGAAAAAAATGTTTGGCAAATTTAGCTGTTTATAATTAGCTGTTTGTGGGTGAAATTACAAACAAGGACATTCCTCCATTTATTTACTATGCACATAGTCAAACTTCATACACTTTTTCCCTATTTTTTTCAGTTATTTGATAAAATAATCTAGCCATGTCACCACTAGTTTTATGGTTTTTTTGATGTAGTTTTTAAATATATAAATTTTATTCTTTAATTCTACATATTTTTTCATATAAAATGATTTAAAAAAATTCTAGCACAAAATCGTAAACTAAAACAAGCGATTTAAATTAGGACTGAGGGAGTATAATTTTTTATTTTGATTAATCACACACATTATACAAGAAAATACTCTACATATATCTGTTTTCTACAAAAAATGACTACTTTGTATTTTTGCTTAACAAATTAGGAAATGAGAATTAACACTTACATTTTATGATTATATTTTTTTTTGTATATTTATTCATTTGTCATTTTACAAGTAACAAACATGCTACCTTTTAGTTTATAGGTTTTTTAATATTGTATCATAAATATATGAGAATACTATACACTAACTTTAAATCAAAAAATGAAATAAAAAATTACTCAAGATAAACATTACAATTTGAAGTGTCAAACATTTCTAGTCCCAATTGTGACCTTAAACTTTGGTTGAATTAGTTTTTGAAGAATGGATAGATTTAGAATGTGCAATGAGAGAAAAAGAAAAGAAAAAAGAGAAGACCATTTTAAATTTTATAGAATTGAGATCAAGAAAAAGTAGATTGAATCCACAAATAAAAAAAACACAAGGGTGGAGAAGACCAAAGACTATAGTTGGGGGCAAAAAAGAAATGTTCCGCAAATGCCAAACTAAAATGCTGGGTGGTGTGGCATTTTCATTTTTGGCTATTTAGATTAAAAAGCCAATTTCAAAAGCCATTCACCAAACAATTCTTTTTGTTCTTTTGGCAGGTCCAAGTCATTAATGATAGTCAAACAGCCAATTCTTGGCAGATCTGCCAAGCGCCAAACACGGCCAATATCAGTGATACGTGGGTTAATCGATAACAGGGTGTTTGACACTAGCAATGGTAATCTGTGGCAAAGAATTGTCAAGAGTAATATCTCCCAAATGTAGAAGATATCGAAACCATTCATTTGAAAGAATTTCAGTATATAATATGACATTCAATATCTCTTTTGTAGAAATGCTAGATTTACAAACAAAAAAGCCATATAATTCACAAATTTATTATTTGTAAAATTCAATAAAAGAATTAAATAGTCTAAATATAATGTTAAAATGAAAATTTAAATCATAAATAGTAAGTTTGTAAAGTTTTTGACTATTTTATTTGTAAACGTATAAAAAGTAAGTTTGTGAACTTTTTGACCAAGTATCAGATAGTATCTTTATCAATTATGACCATCAACCGTACCAACCACGCGCTTACGGAATGTAGGAGTCGTCCCCAAGAAACAATGCCAAAATAAGCCAGAGGAAGTTGAATAACGCGGCCATATTTAGTTGAGAAAAATCCGATCAGCCATATGTAGGAAGGAATCAAGTCGTCAATGCGCCATATTTTCTTCCAATTTTCAACCTCCGCTCGCCCATCAACTTAAACCCAGAAACAATTCCACTATTCCGTCCTGAAATCGCAATAAACGGGACGTCGGGGCCGTAGATTCTCTCCCGTCCGGCGAGGATTGGACGATTTGCCGAAGATATGGTCGGATGGAAGGGATCTGGATCGGGAAGCCATGGATCACCTAACGTAGAGCACATTCCTTCTTCGCGGGCCGTGCGGCTCGGCAAGGTTCAGCCACAAGCTCCCGGCCACCGGACGGTGTTTTGCAATGATCGTGAAGCCAATGCTCTCGCCAAGTACAAGGTCAGCGTTTAGTTCGTCTGCTTATTCAATTAATCAGCCCGTATTATTTGTATATTACGCTCAGAGGTTGAGGTTGTGATTATGGAGGATGCTAGTTAGGGATCAGCTACGGGTTCAAGCAGACTGGTGTTCAAGTATTAGCTTTGGTATTGTATGGGTTTATCAAGGTTTAAATTTTGTATTAGAAACGCATGGGGATGAAGGAAAAAGAAGCACTTGCACTAGATAAGACGAGGGATTTTGTTGGATGTTTAAGATGGTGTTTCATTTTTGGATGGCCAAACTATGAACATAACTACGGAGTAATTCTTATTAGCATTTTATTCAGTTTACTCCCAATCGAGCTAAAAGAGTCAATTTTGACAATGATTTTGCTTCGGGTAAATATCAGACTAATTCTAAATGGCACATAAAGCTTAATTTGCTTCTTACTATTTATGAAGTTTTGGGCAGAAAATGACTAAATCCAGCAATACATCAATGGTATGACAGAAATAGTATCTGTTTTTTTACAAGGGTAAGACTGCATGCATCTAACATCTTGACTCCTAGACCCCAACAATGTGGAGATTATATTGGGCTATGTTGTTTCCGCATATTCCAGAAGATTAGAACCGTCTCTTTTTTTGTTGATAATGAGAGGTGGATTGAGATTAAGGACATTACCATCTTTGGGACGCACACTTCATTATTTATATTTTGGAGATGTCATTGGTTGGTACAATAATACCACACAGTTATGGATTGTGAACTTTTTGATCGCTCTCAAATTGAAATCTTTAGATATGTCCACATTGGAAACCTCTACAATTGACAATGGACCACGAAGAGGGTTGATTAAAGTCTGTCTTTACTGACTACTTACATTGTATCCCTCTTCAAGTAAAACCTCAAAGAGTTAGTGAGGATACTCAATTATAATTTATTATTACAATACAGAATATTATGTTAAGTTATCACCCTTATGTTATGCCCCCCCCATTTGTTTGACATACATTCTGTATTTTTATGGGGAATTTCAGAAAACATGTGGTTTTTTTAAATACGAGCAATACTTGGGATTTGAACCTAGGACATTTTGCTTACCTTAGTGCCAATACGTCTGCTCTGTAACTTGTTAGCAAATAGAAAGGAAACACATTTATTAATTGTATTTATCTTCGGTGGTTGCACTTGCCCACTTAATCATGAAGTTTCACTGGTTGAGAATTTTTATAAAAAAGGAACATGTTATGCATGAGAAGCTGTTAGGCTGCACGTACAATTACTGTATTAGTTCCAATACACTCTCTTGGACCAATAGTATATTTGGTGTTTTATGTTTGAGGAAAAGCCTTTCTGATTAGTAGGGAATGATGTTTCTCTAATATTCCAGGTGAACTCTGTGTCAACTACAAAGTACGATGTGCTTACATTCTTACCAAAAGGTTTATTTGAACAGGTACTTTTTTGGGTCAATTGTTAGCTTGTGATGCTTATGGAATTTCCTTTCGTTGACATGTACTCCTATGCAATACGTAAGATTTATAAAAAAAAATGTGTATTACTTACTAGTTACTCCATTCATTATCAAATAATGTCCATTAAGGATAAATTGTAGTTTAATGGTGATATAATTTTTCATAAATTGACAAACGTACCTTTATTGATTTAAAGGAATTAAAAGTAACAACTAACAAGCAAAAGTGAAATGAAGTGGGAGGACGGCTTAGTCATTTTAATACTTATGTTTTACGTCACTAAGTTGCTAAATGACTACTTATATATGAACAAAATGCAATTAGGAAATAGACACGTATAATACAGTATTTTGAATAAATACTTATATAAAATAACCTAGAACCCTAATAACATTCAAGAAAGATATTCAGTGGTTGGGTAGTACTTGTTACAACTTTTATGCATTAGAGAAACCACGATTGAATTGAAATCTCCCACTTATGTTCTCGTACCCATCTTTTTGTTCACTTTTATCTTTTACCTTTTTTTTTTCTGTGTTTTGTTTATGCTGACAGTTCAGGCGGGTGGCTAACCTCTACTTCCTTATGATATCAATTCTTTCATGCACTCCAATCAGGTATGTTTTTTCATCAAGGATTGAAGATGCTGTCTCTTGGAGAAATCCTCAAGAAAATATGACCAACCAAATACAAGGATAAATTGAAAAGAAGATTTATGATTTTATGATCTTTGCATCAGTTTATTGTGATCTTTTGTGTTTGTATTAATCTGAATTTTTTTGGTGCAGTCCTGTGAGTCCTATTACAAATGTTGTTCCTTTGAGTTTGGTGCTTCTTGTTTCTCTCATAAAGGAGGCATGGGAAGACTGGGTGTGTGCCATATAACTATATTTGCCATCAATGCTTTTACAACTGATCTTTTGCTGTGAAATTATAACCATTGCATATCATTAACTTGAGTAGTAGATAACCTAGACTTGGCAGTCTAATTTATTGTGTTACCTGCTTACACTGTTGTTTAATATTATGCACAGAAACGTTTTCAAAATGACATGTCAATTAATAATACTCCTGTAGACGTATTGCAAGATAAGAAATGGACGAGTCTTCCTTGGAAGAAGCTGCAGGTTGGGGACATCGTGAGAGTAAGGACACTTCTTATAACGGCTCACCTATTTAACTATTAAATTTTAATGGCCTTTTGTGCTATGCTTGTTGCCTTTTTTAGTCATATAGCAGATAAGCAGAGATTCATATTTATTGTTTTAGAATCTATTAAGGCAAAGCTCTAAGCTTACACACCTCTATCTCGTATTAATAAATCAATCACATCAATTTATCAGTCTTTTTCTGATTGGCATGTCATAATGCCAAGCTGTTATCATGTGGTTTCCTTGCTCTAATCTATGAGCCCATATTTGTATATATCTTTTTTAGGAACATATGCTGTTTTTTGTTCTCATTCTTGTTTTGAAAAACTGATACATATGACAATTTTTTTTTTGTTTTTTGCTCCATAATACAAGGTAAAGTAAACCTTATCACCTTGAAAGTGTTGGCAATTAGTTTTAGTAATCAAGTGGCTCTAGTCATGGTTTGAGGTCATAGAGTTTGCAACTTGATAGTCCACCATAGTATGAGTGTTGAATACCTTTTGCTTTTGTACCAGATTAAACAAGATGAATTTTTTCCAGCGGACATATCATTTCTTGCCAGCACAAATCCTGACGGGATCTGCTACATTGAGGTTGTACTTGAGTTTACACTGATGGGGTTTTTTCACAATGTAACCTTTTCTTGTTGTTAATTATTGTTTTTCTTCTTTATCACTCCCGCCCTCCCAAATTAGTTTCCCCAAGTTGACTTAATGGAGAATTGGAGACTAAGAAAAATGTCGAAATGTGAGTGGTTTGAATTTTTTTAGAAGAGAGAGAAGTATTTTGGACCACTTATTCTTTTCCAAAAAGAGAGAAAAAATGGGGATATTATTTTGGGACTGTGAAAATGGAAAGTGGGAAACTTATGTGGGACGGAGGGAGTATATATTAAGATCAGTGTTTCTGGCTTGTTTGTAAATGGAGTGAACATCCCCTAGAAACAGGATAGTACTTGTGTCATTGCACCCCCCGCCCCCAGCCCTCCTCGAAAAAAGGATAATAAATAGTAATAACAACAAGACATAACTCTCTTGAAATTAAATTGAATCTAATACAATTCTCTTGAAAGTAAACTGCAGACATCTAACTTAGATGGTGAAACCAATTTAAAGATCAGAAAAGCTTTGGAGAAAACTTGGGACTATTCGACTCCTGAGAAGGTTGCTGAATTTCAAGGTTTTAAACTTCCAATGCTTCGTCATTACCTGCATCTGTTTTGCGTTTATTGCTATTTATCCAAAGTTGCAAATTCTGATGCCTGAGCAAGAATTGTGAGCTTCAAACTTTTCTTTGGAGTCTGAGGCTGGTTAAGTTGGCTCACTTATACTATATTGAGAATTTCACAGTTTCAGTTCAAAGCCAGAAAAATTTGAAGCATGTAGTTCATTATACTATTATTTTCTAGCTGTTAATTATAACAAATTCCATCTTAAGTAAGTAATGAATCAATTATGCAATCAGATGTGTGGCAGAGTTATCTTTCTGCTCCTAAAGCGTTGGCCACTAGGATAGAATGAGCTATAGCAAACGGTTTTCAAGCGTTGCTGTTGTTCCAATGGGGGGGGGGATCATTTTGTATGCAAAGGCGTGCGCCTCAATCCCAACAAGTTGGGGTTGGTGGCATTAAATTTATTGTGTCTATATAGTGCATATAATTAATGAACACTATGGAGTAATGCAAGAAAGCACAGTGACAATGTTTTTTTGCCGGATGCCCTTCATGTTGCACACTTAATTACAAGGAATCATGAGAGGAAATGTCTTAAACCATCACCATTATAGGTTACTTCCACATGCACCACCAGTCCAAATATTTGCTAGTCATGTGATTTTTCAAATTGCTAGTCATGTGATTACATGATTGGCATTGCAAGGCTAACATGCAAATAACGGAACCTGACCAAATTGATCAAAACCTGACCTCATTGTTGTATTGAGATATTATGGCAATGGTATGAACTATGAAGCGTAATGAGGTTTAGTTATTAAGGATTATAGGATGGAGTTTATGTTCTCAGTTTAGTAGTTGAATTTTTCATAGGAAGATATAAGCCATGAAAATATGATTCAGTTTGATAGGAATAGGATTACATCTTCACTTGGGTTCTGCATATTGCAGGTGAAATACAATGTGAGGAGCCAAACAATTCTTTGTACACATTTACTGGCAATTTGATAGTCCAAAAGCAAACTCTGCCTCTTAGCCCTAATCAACTTCTTTTGAGGGTACATGCTTTCTCCATATTATTAATTGACCAGCTTTTATATGAGCTTATGTTATTGCTTTAAAATTAAAAAATGAAAAATCATATTGAATCTTTGGAGGAGTTTTTTAACTCATAATTCATTTGAAACAAAACAAATACTCTTTACTGCATTTTCCACATGGGAATTGAGAGTCATATTTACACTCTTCTCTTCTTGCAATAGTTATTTGTTTCATGTTTTATGTTTCCATAAATTATGATTTGGTTTCAATATGGACATCTTATTAGCCGTTACCAGATGAAGTTCCCTTCACTTCTCTGCAGGGTTGCAGTTTGAGAAACACCGAATACATTGTTGGGGTGGTTGTTTTTACTGGCCATGAAACGAAGGTACCTATTAATCTTGTACAGATGATTATTTTTAGCTTGTGTGGGTGATTGTGATTTAGTCACACTATAATATATATTATTCAAGAATAATTTGAAGTTTTGAACATTGAGCAGTTGGTCAATAAGGTCATGATGTGCATAATGGCCCAGGTTGTTTTTCACATATTTTTACTGAACATGCCAAAATTTTTGTCCCTAAATTCCTTTTAACATGTCATGGTTTTACATGGATTTGATCATACCTTTTTCTTGCTTTGGTTTTTGCTCTTTAAATTTAAACACACTTTATTTTATTAAATAATTGCTGCTACTGAATTTACAACAGGTTATGATGAATGCAATGAAAATTCCGTCTAAAAGAAGCACTTTAGAGAAGAAACTTGACAAACTTATTCTCACTCTCTTTAGTGTTCTCTTTTGCATGTGTGTCTTGGGAGCCATTGGAAGGTTTGACTATGTGCCAGTATTCTCTATATTGCAATGGTTTATACTACCACATAACATGATGTTGTACTAATAAAGGTGCATTATCAATGAATTTTTATTATGTTTCATGAAATTGTCGCAGTGGGGTATTCATAGACGACAAGTATTTTTACTTGCGATTTGAGACTGGCAAGAATGCAGACGTACAATTCAACCCTAACAATAGATTTGCGGTAATGATCAGGACATGCCTAAAGTAATAGCTTAAAATTTAGATTCTTTGTTTACGATGCTTGCTTAAAGTGCATGATTTTGGGTGGCATGCAGGTTGCTGCTTTGACTATGTTCACCTTAATTACTTTGTATTCACCGATTATTCCCATCTCTTTATATGTTTCTGTTGAGGTAGATCTCACAAACCTTTCTACCCTTTTTAAAACTCCCTGCACAGTTCTGGTTTATGTTCTGGTTTATTGAATACTACCTCCACTTTCTTTTCCAGATGATTAAGTTTATTCAATCCACTCAATTCATCAACAATGACTTGTGCATGTACCACCCTGAGAGTAACACCCCTGCACAAGCAAGGACTTCTAATTTGAACGAGGAGCTTGGTCAGGTAATGCCATATGTTCTAGAGGATAAGTGGATGTCATTTATTCCATTCGTCCCCAAATTAAATTTATGGTTCGACTTCACGGAATTTAAGAAAAACAACTACTAAAAAGTATTAAAAAGTAAAGTGTGATTGGAATTTCTTTGGAAGAGAGATAGAGAGAGTTGTTTAGAGCCACATATTCTATTCATGAAAAGGAAAGTGGAGAAGTACAAAATTTATTTTGGGTCAAACGAAAAAGGAAAGTGATTTTAATTTGGGGACAGGGAGTATATTACTGGAATGCAATCATGTGTTAGGAATGATTTTTATTCTATTTGCATCATTAGAGAACACATGTTTTGACTAATGTTCTAAGATTGTGGAAGAAGGAATCATGAATAATTGATTTCAAATTCTCATGGATAGGTAGAGTACATATTTTCTGACAAAACTGGGACTCTTACTCGAAACTTAATGGAGTTCTTCAAATGTTCAATTGGAGGAGAGATTTATGGCACTGGTGTCACTGAAATTGAAATGGGCATAGCACAAAGAAATGGGACTTCAGTGCAGGTTCAGCAATCACAGAATCCTGCACGCGAGAAAGGCTTCAACTTTGATGATGCTCGGCTAATGCGAGGTGCCTGGAGGAATGAATCTAATCCTGATGCATGCAAGGTAATAACTAGCTTGTTTTGTTTTGGAGGTGGGGCCGTGGGGGTGTTGAATTAACGTTAGTTTTTTTATTAACTTTGGAAATGCTAAAGCTAAAGACTGCCATTAGCTAGCTATCCTTTTCAAAACGCTAGAGCGAAATGCTAAAGCTGTTGCCAAACGGGCACTGAGCCATTGATGTTCTTCGCCTTGTACGGTTCTACCGAAGGCTACTATTAGCCTAGACTCTTCACATGCTCTTTCCTATCCAATTTCTTGATCTTATACTCTCAGCTCTCATTTAGAATTTATATTAATGCATAAGTGATACCTAAAACTCTCTTTTACGAGTTGGTGGTTCATCATAGTTTCTAACATCCATATATTCGACAAACATTTCTTTGTATTTTATCATGTGAATCAAGGGGTATTTCTTATTTTTTATTTGCAGATTCTCTAATGCCTACGGAGTATTATTTTTGTTCATGTTGTGATCCTGTCAATTTTATTTTGCATTTTAATTAATACCATGTTTCTGCAGGAATTCTTCAGATGCCTTGCAATATGTCATACTGTACTTCCAGAAGGAGAGGATACCCCTGAAAAAATTCGATATCAAGCAGCATCACCTGATGAGGCTGCTTTGGTCGTGGCTGCAAAGAATTTTGGATTCTTTTTTTGCAAGTGCGGCTCTTTAGAATTTCATACATACATATTTATTTAATACTAGATAGCAATAGCCTAATACAGGAGTATATTCATTTGGAAAAGGTTTGATGATATTTCAGAAACCAGTTGATTGAACAGTATGCATTGTTAGGAAACTAGAGTATCATGCAGATCTCTTATCTTCTTGCTCCCTTATTAGTCTGCTACTCTCTTGACACATAATAACTGCTTCCCTTGGTGACTCTTTTGCCACCCCACATTTTCCAACACATGTTTCTTAATACTTGCACTAGCCTTCTATTAGGGGTTTAGATATGGTAGACTCATCCTTCACAAAGTCTAGACTCTAGGGGAAGAGTGTCATCCTCAATGGAAACCCTAGGGAAACTTGACCTTGTCAGGCATCGTATCTTTAGGTTTAGTATTGAAGTTGTTTTTTAATACTTGTGGATCAGTGGTATCTGAGGTATTCTACTTTCACATGAGTTGTGCTTAGTTGCTTACTAAAGTTAGTCATCATATGATAATTGCTTGATAATAGGGATTCCACAATGTTTTCCACAGGCGTACACCTACTATGATATATGTGCGCGAGTCTCATGTTGAAAAGATGGGAAATATTCAAGATGTTCCATATGAAATCCTGAATGTGCTTGAATTTAATAGGTGACATTTCTGAAACATGTATGTGAAGTATGCTTGCACATTTTGTAAGACTGAATTTTAACTTGACTTTTGTTTTGCATTTAGTACGAGGAAACGCCAGTCTGTCGTATGCCGATTCCCTGATGGCAGGCTTGTATTGTACTGTAAGGTAAGAGCTTCATAAGGCCAGGAACATGTGAAACATCAATACATGAAGAAATGACATTTTTAAAAAATCTTTATCACAGGGTGCTGACACTGTAATTTATGAAAGGCTGGCCAGTGGAGATAATGATTTGAAAAAAAGAACCAGGGAGCATTTGGAGCACTTTGGAGCTGCTGGATTACGCACACTTTGCTTAGCTTACAAAGTCTTAAATCCGGATGCATATGAAAATTGGAATGATAGATATATTCAAGCAAAATCATCTCTGCGAGACCGTGAAAAGAAATTGGATGAGGTAAACCACCATATTAGCTAGCCTTTTGTATTTTTTATGTTAGTTTTCAATGAAAAATAAAAAAAAGGGCTTTATGTCCCACTATTATAGTACAATTCTTGCAGTTTACTATTGATTCTTCTATGTGAAAATAGCTGAAATATTCTGAATATGTTGGCTTCACTTTAAAACAATACGGATTGGACTGCATCTTTTGTAGAGGTCAGGATGCTTTCTCTTGACCACTTAAGCCATTGGTCACTGGCATGAAAATTCAATTAATCTCAATTAGCCCTTTATTTGGCTTGATATGAATATAGAGTGATTCTACAATGCACCCTGGGGGAACCTAAAAATGCCCGGACCTTCTCACATAAGGAAATTAATTTAAAACAAATTAAGTTATTGCACATCAAAATATTATTTAAATGCTAATTCATTTTTGTGAGAAGGCTCATGGCTCTTAGGTGCCACCTAAGGCGCGCCTTAGAATTTGCCAAGAAGAAACTGATCTGAATTATTTCCTATTTTTAAAGTATTATCAATTGTTGTTGTTGTTGTTGTTTAAAATATTATCAATTTAGTTATAGGATGTATAGCTTGTACTTGTACATGAAGCTTGCAAAATTTTCTTAAGTAGCAACTTGTGTGCTGCATGATAGATTTTACTTCCCAGATTATCTAATCTTGTTGATCTTATTATGCAGGTGGCAGAACTCATTGAGAAGGATTTAGTTTTGATTGGTTGCACTGCTATAGAAGATAAGCTTCAGGAAGGAGTGCCTGCATGCATAGAGACACTTTCTAGGGCTGGAATCAAAATTTGGGTGCTTACTGGGGACAAAATGGAAACTGCAATAAATATTGCTTATGGTTTGTATTCACAGTTTCATACTCACACAGCGAACACACACACACACACTCACTCACTCTCTCTGTCATACACACACAAACTTTTAGTTCGTTCATCTTCCTAAATCTATGCCAACATATTTTCTTGTTTCTATTTTATGATAAGCGTGCAATTTGATCAACAATGACATGAAGCAATTTATTATCAGTTCAGAAACTAATGCGATCAGAGAAGTGGAAGATAAAGTGAGTATATTTTTAATTTTATCTATCAGAATATGTCTGTGTGAAAGAGATAGAGAGCATGTAATCTTAAATAACATTTCTTTGGTTTGTACACTATTAAGGGTGACCAAGTGGAGATTGCTCGTTTTATGAAAGATGCGGTAAAGAATGATCTTCAGAGGTGCTATGAGGAAGCCCAAGAGTATCTTCATTCTGAAGCTAGGCCGAAGTTAGCACTTGTCATTGATGGGAAGTGTCTAATGTATGCATTAGACCCAAGTTTGCGTGTTATGCTGTTGAACTTGAGCTTGAATTGTAGTGCAGTGGTTTGCTGCAGAGTTTCTCCTTTACAGAAGGCACAGGTTAGTTTCTTTAGCCGAGCTGTTTAGGTAGACATGAATAGGGAGAATAGTTGAGTTAGCTCTCAAGTTTGGCTCTTTTTTTCCATGGCTGAATATGTTTAGTGTCAGTTTTGACGGATTTTTTGAGGGGTGAGGATGGGGGTGGTAGAAGGGCAAAGTCTTTATTTGTATTTTATATCTTATAAAACTGAAGGATTAGGAATTATGTATTGAGCGATCAGGTTTGAATGGTCCTTTATTCGTAGTTAGGGACATTCTTTTTTTATGAAGACAAGGACTAAGCTATTCCAAGTCTTCCCTTCCTAACCCTTCTTCCACCCAAACAAAATCTTTGGGTGTTTTTTTTTGGGGGGGGGGGATTTCATGAAGAAAAAATAGGAGCTTCTTTTTGTTTTTAAAAATTATGGCTTGAACTTGATAATTTCTTCAAAATAATAGACTTAAAATGATATTTTAATATAAGCTCATAGTTCTACTTGTTTATATATTACTACAAGTATAAATATTCCTATTAATATATAACCCCTCTGAATCACTCTTCTCAAACACACCCTCACTGCACCTCAAATTATATCCATAGGTTGCCATATGGACATCAAAAAAAAAAAAATCTCCCATGGTTGCAGGTGACTAGCTTGGTTAGGAAGGGAGCTAAGAGAATAACACTTAGTATCGGGGATGGTGCTAATGATGTAAGCATGATCCAAGCTGCTCATGTTGGTGTTGGAATAAGTGGGCAGGAAGGAATGCAGGCGGTGATGGCTAGTGATTTTGCAATTGCTCAGTTTCGCTTTCTCACAGATTTGCTTCTTGTCCATGGACGGTGGTCGTATATGAGAATCTGCAAGGTTTTAATCTTACCCCTATTCTTTGGACCTTCTTTAGATGGGCAATTTCAGGGGGGGGGGGGAATTGTGAAGGGTGAAATTAATTTTATAAATTTATTCATACATTTAGATGATCGGAAAGATGAAAATGCAAAAATTTGTAAAAGTATACTCTGCATGATTTAAATAAACCCCTTCTTTCACTATGTACAGTTCCTAGTTTGATTTGTGATGCTTTAATGAATCAAATGTTTTGCCTTTGACTTCCAACCATACCTCTGCATTATGTGGTTGGGAGTAATTAATGACGGTAGGGGGATATTATTGGGGTAGCAAGTAGACTAAAACTTTTACTTTTACCAAAAAAGAAAGACAACTTAGTTTAGTGACACACTAAAAAGGAACTCAAGAACACCATTTAGGGAGGGATGGAGTAATTATTTTTAGTTTAAAACTATCATATAGAGATAAATTAGTGAAGCAATAATCAATGCTCCTGTCCCCTCCTAAATCTTTCAACCAAACAAGACATTATTTCTCTATAGCCTATACTCTTTGAGTTCATGTCCTTTTTTGTGACTGTGGATGCAGGTTGTGACATATTTCTTCTACAAAAATTTGACATTTACTTTGACGCAATTTTGGTTCACCTTCCGCACTGGATTTTCTGGTCAAAGATTCTACGATGATTGGTTCCAGTCCCTTTACAATGTTATCTTCACAGCGCTTCCTGTGATTGTTCTTGGACTTTTCGAAAAGGTTCGTTTCATTTTGCTAGTTGCTACACAGTTGGCATTGCTGCTTCTGCTTCCTTATCTCACTGCGTGTTAAAAATCCCCACCTGACTTTGCCTAGGTGCTAGGTCTGGTCTGCCATCTTATGCTTTTTAGAACACTACTATTGCATGATTTAAACTTTGCTTAAATATGGTTTTCGTCCCTTCAAATTTGAAGTTTATTTTGTTGCAGATCCTTGTAATTTTTTTTGTTTGTTATTCATCCTTGTTATTTACTTAATGCACTTTTAACCCCTATATGTCTTCCTTTGTTTAAAAAAGTAAGACATTCCACATGGGAGTAATTTTTCAGAAGGATCAAATTTATTTTTGTCCCTGCAAATATAGCAAGGAGAGCACAGTTGGAGTACTACCCACAGAAAAGTTTGTGTTTGCAGGAATGGAAAACATATTAAATCCATTAAAATTGTTACACCTGTGTGGAAAGAAAGCACATACCGGAGTTCTTGTGGCATGTCAGTTTTTTAAATATGAAGGTTGATTGGATGGAATAAAAAGAAAACATTGTAAACTACAAGGACAGATCAAATATTAACAAAAACATCATACATTTGCAGGGAAGGATGAATTACATATTTATATGTTTTAAACTTTTTATACTATTGTAGGATGTCAGTGCATTCCTCTCGAAGAAATATCCTGAGTTATACAAGGAAGGCATAAGAAACTCATTCTTCAAATGGCGAGTGGTTGCTGTCTGGGCACTCTTTGCCATCTATCAGTCACTAGTGTTGTACTATTGTGTGACTGCTTCAACTACCAAAGGCATGAATTCATCTGGCAAGATGTTTGGCCTTTGGGATGTGAGTACACTGGCCTTCACTTGTGTCGTGGTAACTGTCAATCTGCGTCTTCTTATGATGTGCAACACAATCACCAAGTGGCATCAAATTAGTGTTGGAGGAAGCATATTATTATGGTTCATATTTATCTTTATTTACTCTGGCGTTGTATTGCCGAAAGATCAGGTGAACTTCTTAACCATTATGAGGTCTTTGTATTGGATACAAAACCATATCAAGGGCCTGAACTTGTACAGTTTACTCAACTATGCTAAGGATCTGCCATTTGGAGGGCATAGGCTTTTGAATTATGCTCCCTCTGTCTCATAATAAGAGCCTTGTTTCACAAAAATAGAACTTGTTTAAATTTAACACATTCAACTTGTTTGGCACTCTTTCTCATTAAAAAACATTTATTATGATAAATAGTACGGAGTACATAATTTTCTGTTCGTATACTTTGTAACTCTGTTTGGAACAAAAATAACTTTTCAAACTGGACTCTTCAAACATACTCTTGTTCATGTGTGTTCTTTAAATTGAAGGAGCACTCGTGTGCAAGACTTTCTTATTAAATGATTATTAGGAACTCTGTAATATCTATAGAGGAAATTTTAGGCGGATTCTCAAAATTTAGTATCCTTCTCTATTTTGCTCTTCTTTTTCTTCGCATGAAACTTCTATTCAGAGACCCGAGGGCCTATACCTACCAATTTGGGCTGAGAAAATGTGCAATTTCAGGGCCCCAACTATAATATTTTGTGTTTCTATTTGTATGAAGCTACACGGGCTAACTTGTTCTGTGTTTTTATTGTCAACAGAAGAACATCTATTTTGTCATCTATGTTTTGATGAGCACACTTTATTTTTATGTTGCACTGATTCTAGTGCCAGTTGCTGCACTCTTTGGGGACTTCTTATATCAGGGGTAAGAATTTTCGATTCATAAATGCACATTTACAGAAAAGTGTCCTTTGCAGTAACCAGTTACCATCACCAATGCTCAGCCCATCCCAAATTCAGTTTTCTATGCGTATTTTTTTCCTATAAAAGTTTATACAAATGAACGGGCCCATTCTGAATTCAAATCTCAGGGAGTCGTGGCTTTGTTTGGCCCTGGCAGTCCAAATGTTTTGACAGATGGGATTATTTACTTGAAAATCAATCTCAACCATCCATATAGAGGACCCAAGACCCGACCTTTACTTTCACTGTCACAAATCACAATTCTCATTTGCATATACCTTTCAGGGCCCAGAGATGGTTCTTTCCATATGATTACCAGATTGTTCAAGAAATCCACATGCATGAGGTTGACAGCTCAGGGGTAGGGCTGTTAGAGATCAGAAACGAGCTTACACCAGAACAAGAAAGGAGCTATGCCATGATGCATCTCCCAGGACAGAAATCAAAGCACACCGGTTTTGCCTTTGACTCACCCGGGTATGAATCCTTTTTTGCTTCCCAGGCCGGCGTGTTTGCGCCTCATAAAGCATGGGATGTTGCTCGCAGAGCAAGTATGAGGTCTCGCCCAAAGACGCCTCGGAACACTTGACTGACTTTTGCTCACTGTATGATTCTTTATACACCCCCTCTTTCTGTTGTCTTTGCCATTCGTTTGGTTAAGTGGGAGATAAGCAAGTACTACCTCCCTCACAATGTGTTTTTATAGTTTCACTTTTTTCAGTAAAGTTGGGTAACTTTGATCATAAATTAAATAAGAATTGCATATGAAAAAATTGATTTCATAAGATCTATTTTTTCAAATAACTTTCGAAATGTAATTTCACTGTTAATATGTAATGCAATTTTTATTTAATTGATGATTAAAGTTCGTCCAATTTGACTGGAAAAAAATGAAACTAGACGAATACACGAAGAATAGAATGTACAAAAATGAAGAATGTTTGCCATTTGGTGAGAAATGAAGAATATCCTCCCAGTTTCTACCTATTCCATCTAAATTTCTCTCTTGCCAAACGACACGTTGGAACTACCCTATTTCACCCCCAATCTCTTTTTCGCTCATTTTTCTATTCTCTTTTTCTTCCCAACCAAACAAATGAAGGGTGTCCGAGATCCTAAATTAGCCGTGTAATCGTGTTTGTAGTAAGTATACTTTTGTCTTTGATTCATTTACATGTCTTCTTTGCTTCCCTTTAGTTTTGTATTTGTTAGATTATAGATATATTGGGATAGCAATGGAGATTGTATATTAATTAGAGTGACATTGTGAATTTATCTATGCTTATCAGCTTGTGCTTTGGTATGTAGAAAAGTTGACATGGGTCAAACTCTATGGAGATTTTGTATGGTTTATATATATTTTAGTGGTGAAATATAGTGATTTTTCTTAAAGTTTAGCCCGTTTTTTATGGACATTTTTTATGGTACTCCCTCATTGTCTAAATTATTTTCCTATTACTCTGTTCCATTGTTTTTGTTGTCTGATTTTGATGTTTGATTAAAATTATTTGTAGTTGAACCTATCAAGGTATTGTTGTTAAATTGAAAAATAAAAATTACATAAAAAATTGTTCTATACAAAATTAGAGTTGACATGTGTATACTACTTCCGTTCCAACATGATTTGTTGTAAAATCTCGTGATTTTCAAAAATAAGAGTTGACATGTATATACTCCTGTTCTGACATGATTTATCTTACTTGAACGTGTAAAATTTCATGATTTTGAGATAATTTAATTATGAGTAATAAATTAGTATAGAAATTAAGAATACAACTTCCATATTTTAGAATTATATAAAAAATATTTACAGTATAAAACTAGATATGTTCAGAGTATTTTATTTTATCAAACTATTAAAGAAATTATGTAAATAAATAAAAGTAATTGAGAATTTGTAATAGTGAAGGTGTACCTAAGAAAAAACAATGAGATGGAGTACGTATAGTTTTTTGTCATTGTGAAATTGAAAAATAAAAAATTGTTCCATACAAAATTAGAGTTGACATGTGTATACTCCTGTTCCAACATGAATTATTGTAAAATTTCTTTATTTTTAAAAATAAGAGTGGGGATGTTGATACTCTTGTTCTAATATGATTTATCTTATTTGAACGTGTAAAATTTTATGATTTTGAAATAATTTAATTAATAAATTGGAATAAAAATTATAAATACAACTTGCATATCTAAAAGTTATATATAAAATTTTATAAAACTAGATATGTTTATAATATTTTATTTTATCAAAATATTAAAGAAAATATGTAAATAAATAAAAATAATCAAGAATTTGTAATAGTAAAGATGTAAAGCAACAAAAACAAAAAACAAAAAACCCCAAAACATATGAATAGTACATGAGAAAAAAACAGTGAGATGGAGTAAGATTGTTTTTCGTCATTGCTCTTTTACCTAATCAAAATAATGCGAATCAATTTAGAATTCTATGGACAATGTTTGCTCGCTCTATTGCATACTTGAAACAATAAAGTCATATTTGGAAAATTATACTCTCTCCGACCCAATTCAAATAGTCTGTTTTGATTTATGATGTTTGACTAAAATTATTTTCCAAATTTTTTTATATGAAAAATGATATAAAATTTAAAAAAAAGAAAGATTAAATGTGTAAAAACTACATCAAAAGATCTACAAAAGTAGTGGTAATGTGGCTGTATTATTTTATCAAATGACTTACAAAAATAAAAAAAGAAAGTGAATAAAATTTGACCTTCTCCATAATAAACATGCAATTTAATTTGAAACGAAGATAGTAAATGACAATAATGTACTTCAACAAGTTGAGCTTTTATCAAAAGAAATTATCTCGATTCAGATTCCACTTAAGAACTAGAACCGCTAGTGTACATGTATCAACAAAAATGAACAAAAAGTCGAATAAAAATGACATCAAATTTACTCGTAGTCATGTATCCGTGTATATCTTTTGTAGCAGTAAAAACCGATTGTTACAACGTAAAAACACAAGTTCAATTTATGAATTAAAAAAACATTTCAAAATGCTACACACCAGAGAATGATTTAGGGAGTTCTTTGAAATCCACCTCCTCCAATCTGGAAATGTAGCCCAGTAGGTGATGTGCCATTTGGATATTCCCTTTTAGATTGCAACCCAAATGCCAAAGCAGTTGTTGTATCAATGGCTTGATGGGGAAACTGAAAATTAACAACTCATTTGTGTTATTAAACCATAAAAAGAGGGTTATAGCAGTAATATTAATCGATATAATTGTGTTTTCAATTTAATCCATCCATTTTAGTTTTACATCAGTCCCCATATTTGAAATGTTTGCGTTACGCGAAGATTATCATTATATGCATTTGTAACAAGAAAATGGATGTATTTGATATCAACCCATAATTTTTTCATGTGGATAATAATGGATTATTTTCATAATCCATCATGATCACCAAACAAACTCACTAAATCTCACTCAAGGGTAGGATCTCAGTTTGTTAATATAGTACTTACATCTTTGGATAATAACCCCTCGACTGTAGACGTCATTGTTGAATTAAGTGTTTCGAGCTTCATTGATAGAAACTGGGGGAGAAAGATTGTAAACTCCTTAGTGTTACAGTGTTAAATATACACAACAATTAGCTTGCAATATACTTAAGAATGAAAAGACGCAAACCTCAACTTGGTTTTGTAATGATTGGATATAGTTAATTATCTCATCAAGCACTAATGCTTTGCCAATAACCTGTCACCACAGAAAACTCTCCTTCAAAATGGTTGATTTCAAGTAAATAATTACCAGCTTAAAATTAAAGGGATCCCCAGTTTGTGCTTTGTCATGAAAGGGTTATTTTGTGGTTGTGTATACACTACTGTTTTATAATTGTGAGCGCCTGTGTGCTTAAATTAACAGGCACAGCGATAATAACAACAGCCCACTAAGGTCCCGCAAGTAGGGCAACTTATAAAGTACAATGGCATAAAAATCTAAGCCCCGTCTAGGCATGCTGCCATGAATACTTGAGATATCACTTTTATGTAGGGTTAATGTTATCCAATTTCTCCCTTTATTGTCTATGTTTCAAGATTAGGAGTCTTAAGACTAACAGAGTACAGACTAATAAAGTATACACTAGCTTGTGGCTTTTTCTTGGGCTTATTTAAACATTAACAGTATTCATGCCATCAACTCAACGTAGTTGGGATTAAGGTGCTTTGTGACGATGAAAAAGATGACAAACTAGTTTCAAACCCTACTTGACAATGTCACCCTAAGATAAGTATAACACTTTAAGACTCACATGCAACACATGTGCTAAAGAAGACTAAGTTGCATTTGTTCTAAAGAAATGATAAACTAGTTTCAAACACTACTTCACAATGACACCCTAAGATGATCAAGGTGATAGACTAGTTTCAAACAATACTTGACAATGACACCCTAAGGCTAAGTATAACACTATAAGACTCACCTGCAACACATGTTGCATTTGTGCTAAAGAAGACTGTGCTGTATAACAGGTTAAAATTCAAGTTTTAAAGTTCTAAAAGAGACTATGTTGCATTTGTACCCTTAATGAATACTCTAATTATGAATTTAATACAAGTGATATACAGAATATGTAGTGCACCTTGTTGCAACCTGGGACTAAATCCTGGAGAATTTTCATCCTCTCACTGATTTTCTCTCTCCTAGCCTGTGCATCAAAAAGAGTGGAGTTGAGAAAGATAACATAGAGTATTTCTAATTTTACATAACCAAATATTAACAGAATCTACAGAGGTGAATGCACTCAGAAATGGATTAAAATTACTCTTTCTGCTAAGCTGTGACTATCGGTTGCTTGGCCTCTCCTAGCTCTGACATGAATGTAATCTTTGTGTGGTTCAACTGTCTTTGCAGCTTGTTCTTCTTGCTTTCTAGAATTTCCCTCCACGCCTGTTTCAGAATCCGGTTTATTGTCCTGCCCACTGGTCTTTAACCTTTTACTTTCGGTTTCACTCTGCTAAAAGTGACAGAAATGTAAATATAGATAACTCTTCTAATAAGGAACAAGTTTATAAGGAATTTTCTTGCATTGGTAAAGCTTAATCAATGTAAGGTTTGTAACTAAGCACTAAATAAGTAATCAAAAATTCGAAAAGCTGCTCGAATGGAGTTCAATTAATGATATCTATGGCACATAAACAGAGTCTATAAGATTGAAGAGCTAAGTTTTAATTGCTTCTGTCTCAGGATATACACATTATCAACCTAGAAGATTTATATATTGTGTTTAAGTGTTTGGGAATAAAATCTAGTTCGAAAGAGTACCATGCTATTGCCGCTGGTTGAGGCTCCACGCATAGCACATTCATCTCCCTCCTTTAGCTTCCAAGCTCTGCCGCAACCCGGAATCACTCTCCTATCCAGAACCATGGCGTCACTCATACTCACAGCATTCATATCATCGGCCGGCGGCCCCAAGGAATACGACATCGTTAAACCAGAACTGATAGGAAACGGCCAGATCTCCGCCGTATCGAACCGCGCATTGCTAACGCCATGGCAGGATCCTATCGCTCCACCGTAACTGAACATCGCAGCTTGCGGATCCATCGCTCGACCTGGTCCGAGTCCCGACGAGTATTCAACGCCCTAACGGCTACCGATACACTGGAATTTGTTCAAATTTTGAAGTGATCTCCCGGTCCCCGAGTAAATGAAGCTTCTGCTGAGTCCTGGCGGTACTGCGATCGCTGCCGCACACTGCAGAGCTGAGACAAACCGCCACCGCCACCGCCTCCTCCTCTTCCTCCGCCGCCAACAACCATTCACTGTAGAGAGAATGGAGAAGGATATGGAAGATATACGGGGGCCCGGGAGAGGAAATGAGTCTTCTGGAGATTGAAAGAGGGCCCTTCTGTTATAACACTATAACTTATGGGTATTTCCGAGCCGTCCGGTTCTCGTTTTGTATAGAAGCGTTTTTCTAGTAAGTTTTTTCTTAGCAGTATGTTTGGCTTAAGGAATTTGGTAGAAAAAGAAAAAGAAAATGATTTTTTCTCATTTTTCTCACCCAAATAGAAGGAATTTAATTTTCCTTCCTCTTAGTACATTTTGCCTTCTCTTTTTCTTTTCCTTCTACTTTTCTTTTCTTTTCCCTCTCAAATTCCTTGAACCAAACATAGTATAGAGGAGCAAGTTACATTTTTAATTAATAGATAAATTATTTTCAAATATACATAAACGATGATAGATAATTCTGTAATACTACGTAGTTAGTAAAATCGGAAAATAAAAAAATTAGCTTAAAAATAAATAAATAAATAAAATTTACTTTTTTTCTAGTTTATACATATAACCATAAAGACACGTTATCAACTGATTTATAAATTAAACACATCTTATAAGTAATTTTGACCATCGTATAAGTACAAAAAACACACACTAAATTGGTGAAATCATGAAACTTCTGAGCAACTCCAATGGGATCATTTTACTCCGTATTAAAGTAACACTTAGTGATGATTAATCAAAGACGAAAAAAGTAAGAAGGGACCATGTCCCAATACATCATATTATGAGCTTGAATGCTTGATCATAAGCCTTCAAACCTAGAAGATGGGCTAACAAATTTGAGGAACGAGGAACAAAACAAACCGAACAACGAAATCGTGTATTGATCAGCGTAACACATGTTTAAACAGTTTATCATATCGTGTATAATTGTTTTTTGTTGTTTTTTTAATTGTATGTGAGTCACGACAAAAGCTCACACACAAAAAAAGCAAATTAAATAGCAAAATATATTCTGCACAGGTTTGTAAACAGCTTAGCAAGAGTCATTTTCTATTCAAAAATGATGAATTGATGATGTATCAAATATAGAAGTTAAGTATTTTCAAAGAATATCTATTGGAGAAGTAAAAAATGAACAATAAACTTTATAAAATCTATATTTTAGACTATAACTGGTGGGTTGGCGATGCTCTTATTTGGGTGGGTGGTACCGCTTTGTGTTTTGTTTTGGTTTTAATTTTTTTAAATGTTAAATCGTGTAATATACTCCGAATATTTTATTGTTTGTAGGCATTATGATAATATTTTAAAGAGCTTCTCATTGCCTCCTCACTCGACCCCCAAGATTTATAGAAAGCTCACTCAACTTTAAGTTTGTACTACATTTTTACTTTTCTTAAAATTCGTGTCAAGTGAAATACGAGTACTATTTTTTAAATAAAGCTTAATCGCACAATCTCTTTTTCTTTTCCTTACTCTTTCTATAAAAACAATTCAACCCAATAAATTTAGAAATGCTAAGAAATGGAATAACTTTATACATATAAAAAAATAACTCCCCATAATTTCTAGCATTATTCTAAAAATTTCAAATTTCAATTGCACATATCTTCTTTTTTATAACATATTTTTTAAAATCGGTATTATCAAACGATAAACTTGAATTTAAAATCAAATCAAATCCATGTTTTTGGAATATGTCATCTTACAAGGAAGACAACTTTGATGGCTTTGGTCATTTGATTGACTCATTGAAAATGGCACCCAATATAAAATACTAACCCAACCCATTTTCCCCAATTCAACTTTCCCATGTGACCACACCGTTTGATTAGTCGGCCATATTTTAAATTTGGTAGGATTTTCTATTCATATGTTTGATACTCCGTATAATTTAATTATACTTTAGATTTAATCTATTTTTAATGTGAACTAGTGGATCCAATTCTAATAAAAAAATTAACAAAATATGTTCTTCTCCTAACTCTAGTAACAAAAGGTTGAATCCTAATCTCCAAAAGTACGGAGTATTACACTTCAGTCTGATTAAATAAATGATATATAGTCAGTGGCGGATCCAGAAATTAAAAGCACAGGGGGCGAACTAAAAAAAGTTCCAAGTTTTAACCAATTTATAAAGAAGGGGTAAATTTCACCCATGGTATGCGAACTTTTATCATTATTTCACTTCGGTATATAAACTTTAATTCCTATCACAAAAGTACATGAACTTTCAACATTTTTTCATCGGTGGTCTAATAGACGGTTTCTAAATCTCCTTCAAGTCATTTTGGGTCAAATTATAATTTTATAAAATTAAATTTTACCCCGTGTACGATTTTAATCCCTTTTCTTGGTTCTCCACCCTCTTCCTCATCTTCTTCAAGACCCCCCACCCCCTCCATTTTCAAGAAATTCTCCATCACTTTCTCCGAGTAAATAAAAAAATTATACAAAGTAACAGAGATAAATTTTTATTACGGGTTCCCATTTACAATTTAAAATAAAATGATCCAATTAGAATAAAAACTAAAGATTTAGATATTACGTGACATGATGAATTGCAGAATTGATGATGAGTGATGACTGATTACTAATCTGTGAAAAAGAATTTGCAAAAAAAAATACAAGCATTATACTATTATAGTACTCCGTATTATTTATGATAAAAATATAAATAATATTTAAACTACATTAAAAACCTACAAAAAACCATGGAATACACACTACTCAGTACTTTTTTACTTTTTAGAACAATTGATTCTTGAAATTTGACAAATTGAATACTTAGATCTCAAAGTCCTAATAAAACTTTAAAAAAGAGAGAGAAAGGCTCTTACTCAACTCTCAATTTGTGGTCTATGGATTGCGATTATGCGATCAAGTTCAAGACGAACAGGGAAGCTGGTGAGCCGATGAATGGTGAATCGGCGGCCGGCGAGATTCTGTGGTTTATGCGGAAGAGGAGAAAAACGGAAGCTTCTGGAGTGTTCTCCACTTCTTCGTATATGGTTTCAGTAAACTAATGTGGGCAAGTATATTTTTTATTGGGGGCAAGATTAGGTTTTTAAAAAAATTTGGGGTACTAAACAAAAAATTTTAAAAGTTGACTGGGGGCATGTGCTCCCATTGCCAAAACACTCCATCCGCCTCTGTATATAGTAATCAGGTATCCAACAACACGTTAATGGGAGGTGTATGTACCACCTCACAAGCCTGCAAGGAGTTCATCCTAAAGTTACAACGGGTTCAAAGACCTTAAAAAGTACTCCCTCGGTCCCAAATTATAATTCATGTTTATTATTCATAGGGTCAAACTTCATTCACTTTCTTTCTCTATTTTCGTTAGCAATTTGATAAAATAAAATATTCTTGTCACTACTAGTTTTATAGATCTTTTGATGTAGTTTTTTAATATGTAATTTTTATTTTCTAATTCTATACCATTTGTCATATAAAATGATTTGAAAATAATTTTAGTCAAACATCGTAAACCGAAACAGGCGTTATAAAATGGGACGAAGGTAGTATTAAAGAGATATGGTCGTTGTTGGGTGACATTGAAATTCTATGAACTGATTTGGATGGAATTGAATTCTACAATTCCAATTAATTTTTGGCACTATCAATTTCAAATCTACATATTTTTATGATACCAAACAGCAAAAATAGAATTACTATTCTCAATTCCAATTTTATAATTTGAACTTTGTGTAACAAATGGAACATCTATATTAATCTCAAATATAGATTGATAAAATTTTCCTCGAGGTCGACACAATATTTGACAATTATAAAATCTATACTCTGAGAACTACAACAAAACATTTCTGTGAAAATTATTCGATCTAGTCAATAAAATTAGTTTGTCTTCGCCTTCGAATAAAAGTTGGTTTCAAAAAGACATACTCAGGGCCTCAGGGGAAGTAATAATTGAAATTTAATGCGAAAAAATGAAATTAAAAGTCGATATATCTGCATGCTGTGTATGTATAGGTTTATGCAAATTCATCTGAAACGATGAACTAGCTATCTTGTTCTTCACCGGCTTCTGCAACATCTTAGGGTTCCTGGCTTCGATCTGTTCTTCCTTACGGAGTGTTTGATTTTTATAAATGCTCGGAAAGAGCTGAGAGTTTCAGGGAAAGAAGAATGAAGCGAATGAAGCTCGACTCACTGATCTGGGTGAGTCGGCTCAGATCGATTCAAGTCTTGATGGGTGTGTTGTTTGTCTACCTGGTTCTTATGAGCTTCGAAATACCTCTGGTTTTCCGGACCGGGTTCGGGTCGGATTCTACGGAGCTCGAATCTCATTTTGCAACCTCCCGGGCGATCCTGCTCGACAGCGAGAAGGAGGCGGAGCCCGTTTTCCATCATCGAAGGGGAATCTCGGTTTCCCGGTTCCCGACGAGTGATACTCCGAGGAAATTGGGCGAGTATCGGAAGGTCTCCGGTTTGGTTTTCGACGAGAACTCGTTCAATAGCATCAATAGGCAGGACCTTACTGAGATCTATGCAGTCGTCAGGGATGCATTCGCGGCGGGGAAGAAATTGTTCGAGGAGATTGAATCCGGGAAAATTCAAAACGAGTTGGACAATCGGACTCAGAATCTGAACGAGTCATGCCCCAACTCAATGATTTTGGCCGGGCACGAGTTTGTGCAGAATGGTAGACTGATGGTGATTCCATGCGGACTGTCATTGGGGTCGCATGTAACGGTGGTGGGGACGCCGCATTGGGCCCACTCTGAGAAGGATTCAAAAATTGCGGCTGGGGAGGAGACTGTAATGGTTTCACAGTTCATGATGGAGTTGCAGGGATTGAAGACGGTGGACGGGGAGGACCCACCAAGGATACTGCATCTTAACCCGCGTTTGAAAGGGGACTGGAGTGGGAGGGCAGTGATCGAGCACAACACATGCTATCGGATGCAATGGGGTGCTTCAATGAGGTGTGACGGATTGAGATCCAAACCTGATGAAGAGACTGGTGAGTATTTTCTTGTTTGTTTGGTAAGATATGGTTAAAGATTTTGATGTGAAAGGACTGAAAGCTGTTCCTTTGTTTTATTTTGGTACTAAAAATCAACTCTTTAATGCTCTATATTTTATTCTCTTCATGTTTTGAGCTTTTTAGTAACATTTAGAATTTGTGGAATACTCCATATGATTTTTTTTCTGGATTTCCTTTCTAAACGTAGACGCTAACAACAACAACAACAACAACAAACCCAGTGAATCTAATTAACTGGGGTTTGGTAGGGTGACTGTATTCAGACATTTCCCTTACTAGAAAAGTAAAGAGACTTCGGTTCAAAACAAAAAGAACACCCAGAATAACCAATTACCGGGATTGAATTATGGGAATCTGAGCGATGAATTACTCAGGTCTTGTTGTGTATGGTTTTTTATGGTTATCTCCATTTGTCATGACATGAAGTTTGACAAGTACTCTAAAGGTCTGTCTGGGAATAACGTTTTCAATTTGGGTGCTTTGGTTAATTCTTAATGGTGCAAATTAAATTTTAAGACGTTAAAGCTAAATGCTATAGTTATATTACCTTTTCTAAACGCTAAGGCTGAATGTTGAAGTTATTCCCAAACAAGCATTATTATGTCTACATCATGAGCACCGTCTATGTGCAACACCATATGTCCACATGTATCTGTACCTGAATTGGAAACTTGGCAATCGTATCTATATTTGAGTCTGTATTTGTTACTCGAATCAATAAATAACCATTTCTGATTTCTTGGACCGTACAAAGTTGATGGGCAGATGAAATGTGAGAAGTGGATACGTGATGATGACAATCGCTCCGAGGAATCAAAGACAACATGGTGGTTGAAGAGGCTGATTGGGAGGACGAAAAAGGAGGTTTCTATAGACTGGCCATACCCTTTTGCAGAGAACAAACTGTTTGTACTGACAGTTAGTGCCGGTTTGGAAGGTTATCATATCCATGTAGATGGGAGGCACGTCTCCTCTTTCCCGTATCGCACTGTAAGAACTTAACTGATGTCCCTTAGATGACAGAGTTGAAATAAAGGCTCCGTTGGTAGCCTAATCTGGCTTAGGCCCCATTTTGGCAAAATAATCTGCCTCAGGCTCGTTTGGTAGAATTAATTGGGCTGTTATTTCTTATCATAATTAGAATAAAGACAATTAGTAGCCGTTTGGTAGCCACTACTTTTCGACTTACCAATACTAATTTATTTGACCGCTTCCGCTGAGTTGGTTGATAAGGAATAAGTATGACTGTAGGTTCTTTTTTCTGAAGTTATTGAAGATGACCATTTTAGCTTTTTTCCTCCATATCTATTTTTTCAGTCTTTTATGAATTTCAGCAAATTTATTAATGTCACCCACAATTTTAACAATTTCAAGGCTGGTTCTCTTCAACTTATCCGATTGGTTCGATTCGATTAAGTTTTGATCTGATTGTAGTTATATTATCTAAAATTGTTTCCGATTTGATCTGATTCTAATAAGAATACAGTAATAAGTAAAAAGAATAAATTGAAGAGAATAAGCTCTCAGTTACTTCAAAGATTTCTGTCAAATTAACCCTTACCAAACACACACCGAGTAGTTGTCAACTTGCCCTTCTTTCATTATATATGAAACATTTTTCCTTTAGGATAATTAATTCAGCTACTTTAGCCTGATAACGCTTACCAAATGAGCCCACATTTTAAATAGTTAGTAGCATAAATAAATTGACTTATTTAGCCGTTTCAGCCGCATATCATTTTCCAGCCCCACCCGTTCCCAAAAAAGTGATATGTAAAAAAGGGTTTGTTATGTTGTCAGGGGTTCACTCTAGAGGATGCAACAGGGTTATCAGTAAAGGGGGATCTCGACGTGCATTCCATTTTCGTGGCTTCATTGCCCTCAACACATCCAAGTTTTGCTCCTCAGAGGCACTTGGAAATGTTGCCAAGATGGCAGGCCCCACCTCTTCCTATAGGACCTGTGGAGCTCTTTATCGGAATCCTTTCTGCTGGCAATCATTTTGCTGAGCGGATGGCTGTGAGAAAATCATGGATGCAACATGGATCAATTAGGTCGTTGAATGTTGTGGCTCGCTTTTTTGTTGCAATGGTAAGAAGTTGCGCTGTTGAGGCCCTGTTCTTTTGGGTTGGATAAACACAGTTGGATGAAGCAACTCGAAGAAGAAGTTGGAAGAAGTTCAAAGTTAAGAGTTGCAACCCAAATGAACAGCGCCCGAGTGAGCAATGTTCCCGTATGGAATAACTTTTAAAAGCACTAACCCAAATAAGCACTTTTTTAAAAGGACCATTTTGGTACTTTTAACTTGACAAAAGTCTTTTTAATAACACCAACTAATATCATTTTTATTATAATATACAGAGTAAAATAACCAAAGTATTACTTTATAAATCCTGCATAAGTGCTTTTACTTGTTTAAAAATAGTAGTTCCAATGTGCCCTTAGTCACCATGGCTTGGATGCCTTGTATATGCATATCATGTTAACATTTATATACATGAACTTTGCAGCACGGGAGAAAGGAAATAAATGCGGAGCTTATGAAGGAAGCAAACTTTTTTGGTGATATTGTTATAGTGCCTTATATGGATAATTATGATCTTGTGGTATTGAAGACTGTGGCGATTTGTGAATACGGGGTGAGTTTGTGACTTTGTGGTATTAAAAACTAATTAGGTGTTATTTAGCAGCATCATGATTTCTGTTTCTGTTTTCATTTTCTGACAACATAAGAAAATGAGTTTATTTAATGGCTTTTTCATTATAGTTTCTTTTTTTAAGAACTAAAAATAAGATTGTATATAGTGCATGATAAACCGACACGTACTAATACTAATCAATAATCATGTTATTTTTTGACAACTGTCAACATAAAACTAATACTCCGTAACATTTTATTTCCAATTCTAGTGTTTGATTTTAAAAACACAAAAAAAAACCACCTTAAATTGGGCCTTAGTTTTTTTTTTTTGACAGTTTTTCAAAAATAGCTTGATTAGCATAAGTATGGCTATATTTTAGCTCATTACAAAACCTATATCATGTGCCTTTTATAAAACTCTAAACCAAAATCTGAAAATTTGTAGTGATAGTAATCAACTACTAAAACATTTTGAAAACAATATGTTTTCATTATAAACAATAGTACTACGTATAAATTAGTATAAATCACATATTCAGAACATATAATATAAATTCCGGAACTGGAAAAATGAACAGAAGCATCCCCGTTTTCATGTCCTTTTCTGAAACCCCTTTCCTCTAATGAACTTTTCAAGTTTTTGTGTAATCTTGTAGCCATTCTAACATTTCATGCATTTCTGGAGTTTTGCAGATCCGTGCTGTGGCTTCAAAGTATATCATGAAGTGTGATGATGATACATTTGTACGGATAGATGCTGTCATGAATGAAGTTAAGAAAGTTCCTCATGGCAGAAGCCTTTATGTTGGAAACATAAATTACTACCATAAGCCACTTCGCCATGGTAAATGGGCAGTCACTTATGAGGTATGCTTTCATTTATTCCCTCCCAAATTCTTTATTACCTGGATTATTGGCCAACTTTTATCAGTCTATGTGTTTCTTTCTTACTGTATAATTTTAAAATTCTATATGGTAATATTCTCCATCCTATTATAACAATGTACTTTAGGCCCTTTGGCTTCCCAATTTATGCGTGCGGGGGAGGCTTATAATGACGCACAACGCCATGTCCTTTTTTTGGATTTGGATTCTTCTAGAAACATATGGGGTATAATAATATGTACTCCGTATTTCTAAGGGGTTGTTTGGTTCAAGGGATGTCAAATTCCTTTGGTAGAACGTTAGATTGCACGGGTTGTGTTTATTTTAAATTGTGGGATTGTGATGTAAGCTTGTTGGGTGGAAAGTCTACCACAAGCATTATTACTTTAATACCATCATTCCATTTAATAATAATAAATTATAATAATAAATTATAATAATAATAGACCATAACATCACTTAGTAAAATATTTCGTATTAGAATTGTAGACAAATATTACGGAGAATTGTTTTATATTAGTGAAAAGAGTAACAAAAATTTAATGGTACCATTGTTAATAAATAATATTACCATAATCATAATATTTCCATCATCTCAGATGGAGCAAAAAATTCAATATTTTTTGGCTTTGGGATGTGATAGAATAAAGTAAAATGGATCTCTAAACTGTCTGTGCTTCTTTAATTAATGAAGTAGCAGTTAGTCAATCAATGCAACTTTCAACGCTGAGCCGGGGGTCTCTTTGGAAAAAGTTTCTCTACTTTCAAGTGGGGGGTAAGGTCTGCGTACACATACCCTCCTCAGATCCAATTTTCATAATTTTAAGCACACTACAAGTCAAACCTATAACATTACATTGGACAAGGATGAGGAGAGTAATAATTATACTTTTAAGATCCAATGTTAAATAACTTGTTAACTAAACAACATTAAACTAAGAAATAATGTATCAATTGCATCTTGGATTGTTCGATAACGTAAGAAAGTGGATGGTATGATAAATCATCTATTTTCGGTAAAAAGTTATGGAGTATGCCATATAAGACAAAGATGTTACATGCCATTGGAATCTGAGGTAAAGCCAACCAAACAAAAAATCTTTTCTGATATTATTTTACCTACCGGATGTAACATGAGATACACCGACCAAACCAAACGGACCTTAAGAGCAAAAAACTTCACCAAATACTTTCTAATTTTCAAAAAATAGAAAACATCACTCGCATGCAACTTGGTATATAATGAGAGTAAACATGGATTGAACCCTTACAAATTTCATCTTAATTTTATGTGGTTAGAGTGTTGGGCGTCTCTTGGAATTCAGAAACAACCTCTCTACTTCCAAGTAGGGGTATCATCTACTTAGACTTTACTTCTGCGTGATTCTATTGGGTTTGTTTGTATGTTTGTTGTAGTTTAGAGTGCTGGACCTTAATAACCACCCCTTTTTAAGGCATGTGTAAAGTCTGTGTACACCCACCCCACTAACCCAACTTATTGGACTTCATTGGGTAGGTTGTTGTATAAGTTTTTACCCCGTTTATAACTGTCATATTTCTTTGCTTGGGAGTTGCAGGAATGGCCAGAAGAAGACTATCCACCCTATGCCAATGGGCCTGGTTACATCGTCTCGGCTGACATTGCACAATCCATAGTTTCTGATTTTGAGCAACACAAGTTGAGGGTATGCTACCTTTTTACCTTGCAATTCCCCCCTCCCCTCCCCCTCCCCCCGCACACACACACAAACAAAAGGAACACTTCCCAAACACTTTTTGTTATTGCTCTCTTTTACGTCCAACATTATCATATACTCCCTCTGTCCCGGAGTATTCGTCCAGTTTTGACTTTTGGAACTGTTCATCTAAGCACTTTGACTCATCAAATTCTCTCAATGTGTAAGCCTAAATATAGTCATGTGTGATCTTGTTTGATTTGTCTTAACATATAGATTATTAATATATAATTTCTATAATTTTTTAATATACAAATTACAAGATAAAATGGATTAAAGAAGTGTATTGGATGATGTGTAAAAATGAAAGTGGACAAATACTCTGGGACGGAGGTAGTATGTTCAGACGAGACGACACTACTGAACCAATCACTTATCCCCACTACACAAAGCCTAGAATGAGAACCATATGTTTATATATTGGCAAACACGGGTCTGTTAATGAAATGGTGGGTGTGCATATGGGTGCAGCTGTTCAAGATGGAAGACGTGAGCATGGGAATGTGGGTAGAGAGGCTGAACCGGACGAAGGGGGTGGTGGAGTACGTACACAGCTTGAAGTTCTGTCAGTTTGGGTGCATAGAGGGCTACACCACGGCGCATTATCAATCTCCCAAGCAAATGATTTGCCTGTGGGACAAACTGCAGCAGAGCCCAGGGAAAGCCCACTGCTGTAACGTTAGATGACGCATGGTTTTGCGTTGTACTTTTTGTTTGGAAATGTAAGTTTTGATGACACCAGCGTCTGTAAATATATGGTGGTTTTTCATGTTTAGAAAACCTATTCATTCTTTACTGCAGTGCTATGGTAGGCTTCTTCATTTCATTTCTTCCCCATGTTGAACAACAACAAAGTGCCAGCTCTATAGGGTTTGGGTGTCAACTGTAAAGATGCACATAGGGACCATACAAAGTCGAGATCCCACTCCCCGTCTCAAATTATGTTGTCTGTTTTAACTTTTAAGTAGTAGGGGGAGAGGATTTTAAGAGAGTGAAAATTGATCCAAGCTTAAAAGATCATGTTTGGTTTTGTTGGTGTACAACAAAGATGTGCATCAAATTGGATATTCTTTCAGTTTGGAATTGTTCTTTTCATTTTAATTTATAATTTATAATTTTTTTTATTAATGTTTATTTCAATCCAATTTATTTAACTATGAGTGCGAAGCCAAAAAGACACGGTAAGATTTACTTGTATATACTTCATAGCTACTACTTATATAAAAACTTCACAAAGTAAGAAATACCATGACTATATAACGGAGTATAAAATTAATAATGAAAACAAACAACGAAAAATAATAAAGTTGACCATTTGAATTGGATGAAATTGAGTTCTCTAATTTTAATTAATTTTTTGCATTATTAATTCTAAATTCACATATTTTTGTGCTACCAAACACTAGAAGTGGAACTGAAATTTTCAATTTCAATTCCAGAATTTCGTGTATCAAATGGAGCCTAAGGGTCCGTTTGGTATACGGAATTGATGGAATTGGAATTGAATTGGAATTGAAAATTCATGGGGTTCAATTCCATAGAATTGAATTCACCAAATTCTAATTTATTTTTTACACTACTCATTCCAAATCCCCATAATTTTTGTGCTACCAAATACCAGAATTGGAATTGAAGTCTTCAATTTCAATTCCATAGTTTGAATTCTTTGTATCAAACGGGACCTAAGTAAATTTCAAATTTACTTTTACTCTGTACTTCTAAAAAACAATGGAGTACTTGAAAAATGTACCGGAGTAAAATTCATAGGTCACACTGGTCTCAGCCTCCCAGCGGCTGTCATCTTCTTCCTCCTCCGGACAGAACCTGAAACATCTGGCATTCTCAGCTTCCTTCTTCGTCGTCTGCAAGCATTCCCTTATTAGCTACGGGGAAGAGATCTTTATCTCGGCCTTTGCCCGCCTTTCCCTCTTCCTTCGCTTGCCACTCAAGCCTCTCCATTGAATTCTGTGCAACGGATTGGGAATAAAGGTCAGATTTTGGCTTAAGAATTACTTTTATCATTGCAATCGAATGTCGGGTTTCTGGGATTCATTCATACAAATCATTTTTGGCGACAAATCTTGTGTAACTGTGTAAGTCCTTTCTTTTCTTTGGAAGGAATTGGCTAAAGCTTCTGAATTTATGAATTTGCTAAAGCTTTGAAACGGTTTTATATGCCTTTGGATTTCCTTACTAAATTTATGAAGTTTCCTTTATTTCATTTTAGCATTTTATTTGGCAAAGCTTTATTTTAAGATTGAAATTAAAGTTGTATGTCTTTATATATGTATGGAGTTTGGGTTTCAATTCTGATTAATCGATTTTTGGGTATCTGCAGGAATGAATGTTTGAAGCTTGTTATGATGACATTCTTTCATAGACATGAGGAGGTTATCTGCCTTCTTTCCAAACTGCAATCTTCGAATCTCATTTTACAATGTGAATTCGTCTTCTGCCACCAGCCAGCTATCTGTCTTTTTCTATTCGAGTTATTCTTTGGTTGAAAGGATTACTCCCTCTCGACCCTTCCCTGATTACTCTCCCAAAAAACCATCCTTAAGAGATTCCGAATTTGTCCAACAAGTGTCCAATACAGTTAAACAACGTCCTTATGAGACCCTTCACTGGGCTTTGAAGTCATTTGAACCTAATTTCAGGTCTGACCATTTCATTTGGGTTCTCATGAACATAAGGAATGATTACAAACTTGTAATGGATTTGTATTACTGGTGGTCCTCACTAAGCAAACCATCTCTCGAGGCCCGTTGCGTTGTTCTTCACATTGCAACATCATCTAAAGACACCAAGACATCACGAAGACTCATGCGTGATTTTTGGATTAAACCAAGTTTAGACATCGATATTTCATTCGTCAATTTCTTTGAAATGCTAGTTTACACTTATAAGGATTGGGGCTCTAGTCCTTGTGTTTTTGATATTTTCTTCCAAGTCCTTATTGAAGTAGGTTTGTTAGTATATGCGCGGGAGCTTTTTGACAAGTTATTGAATTATGGCATAGTTTTATCCGTTTCTTCATGTAACCTCTATCTTTCCCGTCTAGCAAACAGTATTGACGGGAAAAAATTTGTATTGAAGGTGTTTAGTGAATTTTCTACTTTGGGTATTTCATGGGATACTGAATCTTATAATATCATGGTTCATTCGCTTTGCCAAATAGGAAGAGTGAAAGAAGCTCATAGCCTTCTCCTGCAAATGGAACAGAGGGGATGCATCCCTGATGTTGTAAGTTACAGCACTGTAATTAATGGGTACTGTAATTCTGGGGATTTGGAGATGGTCTTGAAGATCATAGAAGAAATGCACGCAAAGGGTCTTAAACCAAACACACATACTTATAACAGCATAATTCTTCTTTTGTGCAAGACTGGTAAAGTATCACATGCAGAGGAGCTCCTGAGGGAAATGATGGCAAAGGGAATTTCTCCGGACACTGTTCTTTATACAACTCTCATCGACGGGTTCTGCAAATTTGGGGATGTGACTTCTGCATTCAGATTGTTCAATGAGATGCAGTCTTGGAATTTTCTTCCGGATTTGGTAGCGTACACTGCACTTATATGTGGTTTATGTCAAACTGGAAAGGTTAAAGAAGCATATAAGCTCCTTCATGATATGATCAACCATGGTTTGCGACCGGATGTGTTTACTTACACTACACTTATTGATGGTCACTGTAAAGCTGGTGAGGTTCAGGCTGCATTCTCTCTCCATAACCAAATGGTCCAGATGGGATTGGTCCCAAACGTTGTCACTTATACTGCACTGGCTGATGGGCTATGTAAAAAAGGTGAGCTTGATATGGCAACTGATCTTCTTCAGGAGATGTGTGGGAAGGGACTTGAGCTGAACAGTTATACTTACAATTCACTCATCAATGGTTTTTGCAAAGCTGGAAATATTTCCCAAGCACTAAACGTGATGAAAGATATGGAGGCTTGTGGCGTGCTACCTGACAGTTTTTCCTACACTACATTAATGGATGCTTATTGTAAATCTGGAGAAATGGCCAAGGCGCACGATCTTCTTCGCGATATGCTGTCCAGAGGGATTGAGCCCACAATAGTGACATTCAATGTTTTGATCAATGGGTTTTGTGCCTCTGGGAGGCTCGAAGAGGGCGAGGAACTCATGGGATGGATGATGGAGAAAGGCATAATGCCAAACACAACCACTTACAATTCTCTAATGAAGCAACACTGCATCAGGAACAATGTCCGTGTCGCATCAGAGATTTGCAAGGGAATGGCAAAAAAAGGAGTTATGTTGGACTGTAATTCGTATAACATCTTGATAAGAGGACATTGCAAGGCTAGGAATATGAAGGAAGCTTGGTTTTTACATAAAGAAATGGTTGAGAAGGGATATAAACCAACAGTCGACACGTACCACGCACTCATTCAGGGTTTCTTGAAACGAAAGAAGTTTTCTGAAGCCAAAGTTTTCTTCGAAGAGATGAGGAGAGAGGGATTGAGTGTAGATAAGAAACTATACTGCTTGTTCACAGACATGCAGTTTGAGGAAGGAGAGATTGATAAGGCTCTTGAGCTCTGTGATGAAGCAATAGAGAAGTGTCTCGTGAACGAAACTAAACGCCCTCCCGGATCTTAGTTTTCGTGGGATTTTACTGGGTTTGTTTGTTGTTGTCGACTTGGGTTTTGTTCTTTTCAGTTGTAAAAGATGTTGGAAGAAACTGGAAAGAGTTGGAAGAAACTATACGTTTGACGTGGTTGGAGAAGAGTTGGAAAGTGCTGCTAGAATATTTTTGGGTGGCATGCAGACTTCACATTTGTTTCTAGAGTAAATGATGCCTATAAGTAGTAAAATACAAATTTACCCTTGAAGTCCTGTGGTTGTTCCGGACGTGGGGCCCGCGGGTGATGATAGGGATGGGCTGTGAAATTCCCATCTAAAAGAAGCACATTATAGGAAGAAGGTCCACAAACTCATTCTCCCTTTTTTATTATGCTCTTATTACAAATAATGGACTAAATCAAAATGAGACATTAATAATAGTCTAACTGAAGTAGTCTCTTTTTTTATATTTTGCAGGGGTAAGGCGGCGTACATATTGACTTTTGGAGTTCTGAGCCCCAATGTATTTTTACGTGCTCCGCTCGAGGTGATGTTTTTAGCATTATTAACTCTATTACAATATAGCATGTGTCATAGTTTCTCAAAAAACTGAAGGATAAAGACACTATCCTACAAGTTCAAATTCCACCAGAATTTGAACTTGCGAACTCTTAATTGGGAGAGTCAAAGATGTACTGTTTGATCACAATTTTTTTTTGCCCAAGGTGATTTTTTTTAAATACTCCGTATAATACAAAGAGTCCTTTTATATTATTCGAATACATATGCACATGGAAGACCAAAGTTGTAGGGGAAGTTTCTTTCAAGAAAGTTGGGTATATATTCGATCATTGGAATACATATATTGACAAAGAGTTTTAAAACTTTTCAAACCATTCCTATTTGTATTATTTAATGGAAAAAGAAGCTAAGATCAGTCAAGCTGAAAATGATGCCTGCTAATATATTGGTGCTTAATAATGTTTTTTTGAAAAGACCCTAAGGTGCTTATTTCCCCCTTTATCCTTTTTTAAATTGTCAAATTTTACTTTTTTTTATAAATAAAAGTGTTCCTTATTAGTTGTCTTTATATTTAAGAGAAATATTTGTGTGGTCCATAAAATGGTGTATAAATAGAACAATTTAAAAGGCAAGGAGGAAGTAACAAGAGCAGCATAAAATAATAATAATAATAATAATAATAATAATAATAATACTCCATAATAATAATAATGATAATAATAATGATGATGATGATGATAATAATAATAATAATAATAATAATAAGAAGAAGAAAAAGAAGAACCACAACAACAATAATAATTTCTTCTTCCCGCTTTGTTTTTTTATGGTCAATTGTTACAAACTTTGATCAAGATTTAATTGAAGAGTTTTGGTTTCATGATGCTAAGGTCCACATATGAAATGTGAATCGTCTCACATTTTTAGTGGGTCGACATGAGGACTTCAAGATACAGAAGAACTTGCCTTAATTGAAATATGTCATCCGTCTCATTAAAAAAATTCTACTTTTCCTTTTTTAGACGTTTAAAACAAACTTGACACTTATTCTATCTTCTCTTGAAGAAATAAAAATGTGGCTCATCAAGTTTTTTCATCTAAACTTTCCAATGAGATCAAATCATATTATGAAAATGGTTTATAAGAGATGTTTTGCAAAATATTACGAGTATAATGAAATTAAATTTTAATTATTTTTTTCTAATTTACTTTGTTAGATATCAAACGTCCAATTTTTCATAAATATCAAATCAATTATACAAACTCAATGAATGGCAAGGATTAATAATTAGGAGACATAAAAAGAACAACAAAAAGCAACACTAAAATTAAGATAATGCAACATTTTAGAAAAGCATCCAATAATGAACAATTGAGCTGGTCAATTCATAATGCTGAATTATGCAATCAATTAAGTTAAATTAATGGTTGATCACAGCTTGTAGCCTACTTCATTTTGGACTACAATGAACAATCCCATAATCACAACCACCAAAAATCCTGCAAAAACAAATGGATTAAATTAGTTTATTAGACATATAAAGAATGTCAAAGCTAAGTATATATATACACACAAACACACACACACACTTAGCTTTGAGTTTTTGGAGCACCTTTGTGACTCTGTTTGTAAAAATGATGGTTCCTACCCTTCCTAACTCATCCCTAACCCCCCACCCTAGCCCCCTCCTAATATGTGGCTATCATGCAATGCAAAGTAGCCACACATTTAGAGAGGGGGACGTATGAGGTTGCTGGGGGGGTAGGGGTTGAGCTGAGGTGGGAGGTTTAGTGGATGGGTTAGGGGTAGGAACCATCAATTCACGAACGCTGGCCAGTGTCAACGGAGCCGTGCTCAATAATCATTGTTTCTAGAAAATGTGGCTTTGTCACTAGAGATGACATCAAGATTGACAACATTAGAGACAATCACCCACAATGTCATCCACTTTAGTATGACAATACACACCTGTATTCCAAGGGGAAATGGTGAAGCCATTGCTCCAAGAACTCAGGAAACAATGGGAGCTAGTGTTGAAGCCACCAGGACAGTTACACAAGAACGATTTGTACTGGACAGAGTACCCGCAAACGCCGTTACTCTTCTCACAGGCATCGCACAGATCTGGGTAATCGTTCCGGTAATTGAACTTATACTTCAACCCCATCCCATACTTCCACCCCCCCGCTTCGCCGCCGTACATGGCCGAGTAGCCGGTGCACCCCAGCTCCGGCAAGTCCATCTCGAACGCCGGCCCCAGGTCCACCGGCGCGTACACGCAGCAACCGCCGGAGAGTTGGAGGTCGTCTGCTTTGCTGGTGGTGATGGGTTGCTGGCAAGAGGTCAGGATGTCGCAGATCGGGGCCGCCAGCGCATCACACTCCGGAGTTGACGAATTTGCCCCTCCCGTGCATCCTAATAATAACATGAATTAAGCTACTTATACACCAAAATTTATACCCCAATTTTTACACAACAGGTATGCACCTTCATTTTGTGTCAGTGTGATACCAATGTGATGGTTCACCCATGCCAAATTGTTTTATCACACTAATATATTGTGTAAGTTTAAACCATCAAGATATTAGTGCATATATTTGGTGTACATTTTGGGGTAACCCTAGCATTGTTGTAATGATATTACCGAGTATTGTATTCTTTTCGTTTGAAAAAGTAGTTTCACCTTTGTTTTTTTATGCATCTCACAAAATACTTTTATCTCACCTAAAATGTCTAAAATATAAACTATTTCTCCTTTATCGCAGGTAGAAGGTACTTTGGGAGTATTTTAGACATTTTAGATGGGTGAAAGTGTTTTGTGGGACGTGCAAAAAACGGAGATCGGAGTAGTAATAATTACCTAGGAGGGCGACGGCGGTGTCGTCGTGGAAGGAGAAAGGGGCGTCGGAGTCGAGGCCGAACCCGGGGCTGGTTCGGGTGCAGGAGCAGGTGGAGAGGGAAGGGTCAGAAATGTAAATTACTTGGGTTTGGTAGTCGACGGAGGTGACCGGGTAGCACCCGGTGTGGGTGGCGAAGGTCAGGACCTGTTGTTGGGCGTCGCAGGTGACGTGGGGCTGGAACCGCGGGTCCCCGCAACCCGGACCGGTCCCGAACGGGTACTTGATCAGCTGGCTCCCGCAGGTTTTCTGGCAGGCCAGGGATGACACTGTGGTGGCATGATTCATAATAATAATAATAGCAATGGAGATAATGAAGAAGAAGAAGAAGAAAGAGTTGGTCATCATCATCTTATTAGCTTCTTCATTTGGCCTTCAAGAATAATGCACGTACATATATATACGCAATCACTTGTGGGCCTATGTCAAAGGACAAACTCAAACTAAAAGTTAAAGTTCGTGGTTGTTGGCCCAATAAAATTTAGGGATGAGCTCCATCTCCGAGGGTCCCTTCAGATTCAGTCGGACGGTCACTGAAAGAAAGTAAACTAGATTTTAATCGCAGATTGATGTCAGATAGTGGAGCATGTACCTGGTGGTACTTGCAGAGACTCTATGCTTAGCATAATTATCCCCAGTGCAGTTGTCAGGAATCGAACTCAGATGTAACCATTGACAACTTGTACGTCTCTCTAAGATGCTTTAATTAACAAGTCCCAGTAAAAATTGTTGCCCCAATAAATATTTATACTCTAACATGTCTTTTAACGGTCTTTCAGACATTGAGACCATGTTAAAGAACCTATTCAATTGAATGTTCAAGTTTGTGTTATAGGGTGGGCAAAGGTTTTATATCCATCAAATGAGTTTAAATAAAAAAGATGTGGAGAATAAAAAAATGTGTTCAAAAAAAGAAAATTATTATGAGCTGCTTATTCCTTTTTAATTCCTAGCTAGCAAAATGTAATAAAGTCAAAACTGTATTTTGAATTATCTTAAAAATGAAAATATAACTTTTATTTTGGGATGAAAAGAGCACGTAGAGAGAAATGATACTTCGTAATAATTTCATAAGCATGCAAGAGATAGATTATTCGCTATATGTAAGAATAAAGGAGAGATGCTTGCGGAGTAGCTTTGGATGGTGGAAAAAAAGAGAATGAAAAAAAATAACATTAAAAAATAAAAGAGAATAAAGGATTTAATTCCATTATACCGAGTATGGTCTAGCCGTCTAGCTCACATTTATGGTTTGTTTGGATAGAGAGAGAAAATGATAAGAAAATAAATTAGAGAAAAAGAAATGAGGAGAAGAAACGAAGTAGAAAAAAATTAGAGTCCGTTTGGTACACGAAATTGACAGAATTGGAATTGAATTGACAGTTGAAATTCCATGGGATTGTTTTGAATAGAATTGAATTCTCCAATTCCAATCCATTTTTTGCATTACTAATTCCAAATTCACATATTTTTGTGCTACCAAGCAGCAGAATTGGAATTATTATCTCCAATTTCAATTACATTGTTTGAATTCCGTGTACCAAATGGAGCCTTAGTGTTTGGAATTTGGATTCATAAAAAATGAGAAGAAAATGGAGAGAAAAGAGATGAAAAAGATAGAAAGAGAGGAGGATGATGTCATTTTCTCATATATTTTGGAGGAAAAACTTTTTGTGATGAAACTAGGGATAATTTTCTCTCCTCTATTATTTTTTATCCAAACAAACAATAAAAATTTATTCGTAATTTGTGTTTCTCATCTTGTAATTTCTTTCCTTCTTTTCTCTTATCATCCAAATAGAAGGTTATGTTTGTTTGATGAGAATATGAGAAATGTGAACGAAATTACATGAGAGGGGTTGAAGAAGAGAAATGCAAAGGAAATACAAATATTTTCAGTTACTACACAAAAACGAGCAAATGGACTGCCCTATTTTCATCGGTTAACTAAAAAAAGATACAAGTGACTATTAAGTTTTGCCAATCGCTTATCTTTTGAATCAGTTATTAGTAATAACCGATTTAAAAGAGTTACCTCTTTTGAATCAACTATTATAAATAAGGCCATACTATGCCGGAAAACTTCCACATCGATAGTGCCAAAAACTAACCAAAGCACCTTCAATACTTTCAAATAGGTCTAAGAAGACCTTTGTCCAGGGTTTCATTCAACAAAAATTTGGATCATATGTGCTTGATATATGCCCTGAAACATCCACATCAACTGTGTCCAAAATCGACTTAAACACATTTAATAGTTCCTAATAGCTTTAAGTAAACCATAAATTGTCCAGAGTGACAATCAACCAAATTGTAAGCTGTTACAATTGGAAATAGATCCTACGTGAAATAGTTCAACGCTAAGGCAAGATGCAAAGCACAACTATTGTTAGATGAAAAGCATGCTCTTTAGAGGTTAAATTTTTAACTTCCGGTTCATTCGAGTTCATTTCTGTTTCTTTCAGTTTCTTCCAGTTTTTTCCAACTATTCTCATTTTATTCAAACTCTTTCTACTCCCCAAACATTTACTCTAAAAATGATGTATTTTAATGTGAGTATTATTATATTATTATTATCTTCATAAGTATTACTATTATTACAACTATTATGTTCATAACCATATAGTTTATAAACTATTTCATTTTTTTTCTTTTTTTATGTCACTATTTTTACGATTCACACTCTTCTAAATTGATTTGAGAAAAATATTTTTCAAATTTTTATAAAAAATTGAAAGTCAAAATACTTTAGAGAAAAATACTAAACTAGGAGTGAAACATAAAAATATACCAAAATATGAGCTCTATGTTTTTATTTTCAAAATAAAAGTTACAATGCAAATACAATGTCAATCATGAAAGGAAAAATAGATTTGATCACATTACGCGAGAGGTCTGATCTTTAAAATAAAATCTTGTAATATATAAAGTACTGTAATTATAAATATATTTTTTATAATAAATACTGCATAAATAAATAGAGGTGCAACGTAGCCACAATAACTTTTTGAAATTTATCATTTTAATATTTATGCTAACTTTATATTCTAATTAAAAAAATTTGTGAAAGTAGATTTTTGTGTATGAAAAATGATAATACTTTTTTCATTTTAAAGATATTGATTAAGATAACGTGATTATAAATATATACAATAATAATACTAATAATAAAAGTAATAATAATTTATAATAACAACAATTAGAATGAGAATAATATAAAAAATAAAGTTAAATCATTTTTTTAAATTTTTTTTTGATTTCCCAATTTTATTTTAGTTTTTCCAATTTCTCTAATTTCTTTTAGTTTCTTGGAGTTCCTTCGTGTTTCTTCCCAGTTTTTTCAGTTTAAATTAAAATTTTATTTAGAACAACCTAGCAAATCAAGAATTGTAATTGGAAAGTAATTGAGAAGAAAATAGATTGGAATTGGGATTAAAAATATCTCTCCTTCTTTCAAACCAAAATGAAAAGAAAATCATTTTTATTTCTTCTCTGTCATTTTTTTCATTTTCTCTAATATTTATTTTACTTAATTCATGATCAAAGTTCATTAATATGAATGTAAAAAGTTAAAATTAGAGAATTATTTTAAGATTGAGGTAAGCTAGTCAAAATTGGATAAATAGGGCAAATGAAACGATAATGCATGAAAGATGTAAAATCTCATAAAAGTAGCTGAAGAGGGTGTGTGTACGCAGACCTTACTCCACAAGAAATAGAGAAGCTGTTTCCAAGTAGATAAATAAGTTACCAAAAAAAGATAATACAATATGAGACTTTCCAAAAAATAATTTCCAGATTTCCAGTGGTATTCGTGAAAAATGAATAAATTAAAGGTTCTTTTGTGCTGTATTCATAATTCATGAAAAATCTTTTCCCTACTTTCCCTAATTAAAGGTTCTTGTGAAAAATTAATACTTAAAGGTTCTTTTGAGTGATGACAACGGTCATAAAAAACTATCATCGGTCCAAAAGGTAGAATCGCCCACCTCAGCCGCCCCCACCCCCTGGCCCGACAGGGATGGTGGAGGAGGTAAATCATGGTGACTCAGTCGGCCAAGAACGCTAGACCCGTGCCCACCGCGCACAAGGAGCCTCCTCACCCTTTATGGGATTTTTGGATAGCTCCCACACTGTCGCTTGCGGGACTCGATCCTTGGTCATAAAAAACTATCATGCTTTATGAAATTCATGAAGGTATAAAACACAGACCCCACATCTCTAGGACCGTATTGAGATTATAATTTTATTTACCTCATCTACATCAGTATTGAGAGACCTTGAGTTGCGGTTCAATTACGTTTAAAAATTAGTATTTTGAATTTGGTTATTTTTAGATTAGATTAACAAAATCTTTTTTCAAAATTTGGTATCTAAAGCAAACACGGAAACATACACAGACACTTACTATCTCTCCACATTCCATATTGAGTGTTTGTGTGTGTCTGTGTCTGTGTTTACCTTTGTGTGCAGTGCTTGGGCCCCACCTAATACTAGGGGTGTTCATTCATATATATCTGATCTGATCTGGCTCTTTGGATATTCGAAATTTTTGGATCAACGAATATCTATTCCATGTCCGATCCGGAAATTACCAGATACCCGAGTTTCGGATATTCGAGATATTGGATCAAATTAATGAGATATCTAAAAAAATTATATGTCATAGTTTTATAAATGTATGGAAATTGAACATCCACATACTCCATTGACAAATAAAACATAGGCAAAAAGACTAGAATAAAAAACTTGAATGAGGCTTAGATTTAAATACGGAGTATTAATGATGATAAAAATAAATTGGGCTATGTGAGCTTTATTTTTATGTTTATTTCTTTGAAATACTTTCTCCTTCCCATAAAATGTTCCCATTTTGACTTTTATGAAATTTAAGGAAGAGATATTTTTGTGTTGACTTTTCAAAAATAACCTTGATCTGATGAGTAGATTATTAGTAAAAAGGCATCTTGTGATAGGTAGGTATGATTTGGTTTTTTAATTGAAAGAGAAATGATTTTGAGGAACAAAAAAAAAGAAAAGGAGAAGGAGTTTTTTTCCAGATATTCGATCCGAAATATCTGAAAGCTACAATATCGAATCGGATATCCATCTTCTTTGGGATCAAATCAGCCTAGATCACAGACGTATCCTTCGACCATCCAAGAACAAAAGTCATCATAATCAATTTACGATCAAAATCCAACTTTCCATCTTACCGTTCAGCTGAATTAGAAAGAAGTTTCCGGGATAGGGCTCATTTTTTTGTTACAAAAGTCATTGCCAAATGCCAAATGCGTCACTGATTGCGTGGACTATGGGGTGAAGTGTGAACTCAAACCCACCGTATGATGACTTTTGACCTATACATTCATATACTCCTGCCCCCAAATTGTAACCCACATTTCAATTTATATAATATCATCTTTTTTAAAATTAATTTATTTTTAAAAATTGGTAGAGAGATAAAAAGTAAAAATTAGGTCGTTCAATAATAGATCAAAAATTCTACAAAATAGGATGCGACAAGAATATTTTATTTCATCAAATGTTCAATCAAAACAAATACACAAACAAAAGTTATCGAAATACCGAAATAGTAACTCTTACTTATATTTTGAGAGGGAAGGGGTATATATATACATACCTCCCATTTTCTCAATACAAATCCTTCTCTATCTTCATTTCCATCCCCTTCTTCATTCTTCTTCAAAACCCCGGCGAGATCGACGGCTGCGATGGCGACCACCGACGACGTGAAGCTGTTGGGGACGTGGTGGAGCCCGTACGCGCTCCGAGTCCGAATAGCTCTGAACCTCAAGTCGGTGAAGTATCAGTTCATCGAGGAGCCAATGTGGCCGAAGAGCGAGCTCCTCCTCGAATCCAACCCGGTTTACCGGAAAGTCCCCGTCCTCATCCACAACCGCCGCCCCATCCCCGAATCCACCCTCATCGCACAGTACATCGATGCCGTCTGGGCTTCTTCTTCTCCCCCGTCGTCGTCGTTGTCGTCGTCGTCCATCTTTCCCTCCGATCCCTACCACCGCGCCACCGCCCTCTTCTGGTCCGGGTTTGTCGACGATCATATATTCCCAACTATGCGCCGCATGCGGCTAGCGGCGGACGAGGGAGCCAAGGGAGAAGAGATGAAGAAGCTCCTGGAAGAGCTATCCCAGCTGGAAGATGTACTGTTACAGAGCAAAGGAAACAATAATAAAAATAACAAATTCTTTGGCGGGGAGAGGATTGGGTGGCTGGACATTGCTCTGGGATGCTTCGTGGGTTGGTTCCGGGCCGTCGAGGTGTCCAACGATGTCAAGTTATTCGAGGGGACTCCCAATTTGTCCCAATGGGCGGAGGATTTCGCCGCCGATGATGCCGTCAGAGGTGTCTTGCCGTCGACGGAGGAGCTGGTGGAGTTCAGCGAAGATTTCACTAATAAACTGAGAGAGGCGGCCGGCTGCCGTTAAAATCAATTAATTAAGGTTGTTTTTTTTTTTCGCATTTGGGCCGGCTTCGATCTTGTACGTCCTTGTCGCATTTCAATTATTCGCCGATCTACTAGATAGTGTTCTTTGTTCGTGTTGTGTGTGTTTTTGGTACTCTTCTTCTGTTCTATTCAATTTGTGGGTGTACCTGAAATAAAGCTTTTGATGCCTCAAAAAAAAAACAAAAAACAAAAAAACTTTTGATTTGTCTCCATAAACAATCAATGCTATAAGTCTCTCTTTTTTTTGGTAAATTCTTTTAACATGGGTCATCAAAAATTTATAGTAGGCAATTATTATTCATACGGTCAAACTCTAATTATTTTCTTTACATATTTTCGTTAGTTATTTGACAAAATAACGTGGTCTTGTCACATCTCATTTTGTAAAACTTTTGACGTAGCTTTTAAAATATAAATTTTATTACACCTACAATCAAATAAATTAAATTGAATACAAAGTCGGTCAAAACTTCATAAATAGAAACGCGAAGAATGTTTTAGCACAGAGGGAATATATTTTTTGAAGGGTAATTTACCTAAATAAGGCTAGAACGTAATGACTTTCTCAATATAGGGTTATATGTTTTTATTTCACAATGTAGAACTATTGGTCATTATTCAACTAAATGTCTAGCATCACTTGGATATTATATTATTCTTCTCACTAGTCATTATTAAGTCTTACGGAGTATTTAGAAAATAAAAAAGTTTAAGTCCTACATTGAGAAATGACTTATGTTTTAGTCTTATTCAATGCAAATTTCACTTTTTTAAATGGCTACGACATACTCCTTATTAGGGGTGAGGGGGCGCCTTACCTGTTCCATTTGAATAGAGGCCACTAGTGGCGGGTTGTAGAGGTACACCGCCCCAGCGCCCCTACCAGCTATCCAAGTACTTTGTCCGAGTATACTAACTTAAATACGGAGTATATTTTTTGGCACTGTGAAATAATCTTTGGATACATGTTTTATTGGGTATGACGGTTGTATGTTATGCCCATGTTCTGAAAGTGTATACAACCTTAAACACATTCTTTAGCATTGTAGAATGCAAGGACAAATTTAAAATTACATACACACAAATTCTAATATCCCATAACACAAATTCTAATATCCCATAACAGTGTTATATTGGGTATTTTAAACATATATTAGTGCTATATATGACGCTACTTCTCCTAAAATAATATTTTATCGCACTAGCATCTTGTGCCAGCATGAACTATCAAAATAATACTCCTTGCATCTTGAAATTAACTTTCTATTTGACTTTTCACAGTCTACAATATGACACTTTGACCATCAATATCTTCATTTTTATATAAATATATATTATAAAAATAATATATTTTACAACTATGTTTCACAGTTAATCTATTAATACTAAATATTTATAAAAATTAAATGTATTTTTCCCGTAATATACGTTCTAAGTTTGACTACAAAAGTCAAACTGAAAACTTAATTTTAGGATGAAGGAAGTAGTATATATCTTTGATATAAGTCATGCTTATATGCATGGTCCCAATGTCCACATTTAAAATGTGTACCTTCTCACCTTTTCCATAGGCTTGTATGTGAATATTTTTCTTTATTGCATGCAAAAGACATACTTTTTTATACTAGAAATGCACTAAAGTCCACATAATGAGCGCGCATAGACCTTAGGTGCACAGATGAATTTCCCCTTTGTAGGAAATAATAAGAAAGAAAAATACTCCCTCCGTCCTATAATGATCTTCCCGGTTCGCAAAACGAAGAAAAATCCCAAGTTTTTTCAATTTATTTTATTTAAATATTGGTATAAAAATAAAAAATAAAACATACATATTTAAAAACTACACCAAATTAAAAGTTCAACAAAACAAGTGGTGACAAGAATATTTTATTTTATCATATAGGCCATGAAAAAACACAAATAAATATAAATTCTCGTGAAGTTGGAATAGTGCTCTGGGAAGATCATTATAGGACGGAGGGAGTATTCTGTATATTAAATTGTCTTGTTAATACAAAGATCTAGCCATCTTTATATAGGAAGAGGTAAAACAAATAAGTAACTTCTATTCCTACCTATATAGTTTAAGTAGTAAATCTAAAAACAAATGCCTTTTTTAGTGTAAGTGTAACATTACTAAAATACTAACATATACTCCGTATAGTTTATTAGTAAATCTAAATGCGTCTCTATGATGTACTAAATCGTTTTAAAATACAACATGAGTACCCATTTATTTTAGTGAAATTTTGCACTGAATAGGACTAAAACATAAGTCATTTCTTAATGTAGGACTTAAACTTTTTTATTCTCCAAATAAGACTAAATAGTATGTAGTGAGAAGAATAATGTCCAAGTGATGCAAGACATTTAGTTGAATAATGACTACTCCATCTGTTCTCAAAAACATTACTCTTTCATTTTTTTCCACTTCCAATAAAATATTTTCACTTCTTATTAAAAAACCACTTTTATCCTTACTTTTTCATATCCTACCTATCACATCATACTTTTTCTCTAATAATCTATTCATCGCATCTTACTTTTACTCATCACATCAGGAGAAAAATTGGAAGTCAACTACTCCGGTATAAGAGTAATGCTAGAGTCACAAACAAACAGTTCACAAAATTCACAAACTTGCCCTTTTAACACTTTCCTAGAAATAAGATGCAATTAAATAATAAAAGATATTTTAATTTAAAATCCAAAAAAGACAAGTTTGTGAAATTTGTGAACAACATGTTTGTGACTCTAGCATTTTCCCCGGATTTAACACTTCCTTATTTTGGCTCCAAGTCAAACTAAAAAGCTTTTATTAGAACGAAAGGAATAATAGATAATGACCAAATGTTCTACATTGGGAAATAAAAATATATAGTTCTATATTAAAAAAGTCATTATATTTTAATTCTAGGTAAATTATCACATTTTAAGATTAGACGGCACCGATGTAACAAAATTAAAACCAATTACCATATGGGGGAATTGCGTCACTGAGTGCGTCCGCCCACCATTGTGGGAACTCAACCAGCCTTATGTTGACTTTGACCTCTATACATACATACAAACATACTCCTCCCCGCATATATTCTGTTACTATACGCGCGCCTATAAATACATCCCACAAACCCCTCTGTTTTCCTCACTTCAAACCCCCCGGCCACCTTATCCATTCTTCTTTCAGTGCGCCGATCTTCTGAACTCCGGCGGGCGGCGATGGCGGCCGCCGACGACGTGAAGTTGTTGGGGACGTGGTGGAGCCCATTCGTGCTCCGAGCCCGAATAGCTCTGAACCTCAAGTCGGTGGAGTACGAGTTCATTGAGGAACCAATGTTTCCCAAGAGCGAGCTCCTCCTCAAATCCAACCCGGCTTACAAGAAAGTGCCCGTCCTCATCCACAACCGCCGCCCCATTTCGGAATCCGCCGTCATCGCACAGTACATCGACGATGTCTGGTCCTCTTCTTCTTCTCCTCCGCCGCCTCCCTCCATCTTTCCCTCAGATCCTTACCACCGTGCCACCGCCCTGTTTTGGTCCCGTTATATTGACGATCAGGTATTCTTGTTGTTACATACCAAGTGGCAGAAATTTGGGTTCAAGAAATTTTGAAAAATTAAAAAAGAAAATGATTTTCTTTCTTTTCCTCTCCAAAATAGGAGGGATTTTGTTTTGTGAAATTTGTACTAAATAGGACTAAAACATAATGACTTTCTTAAAGTAGGACTTAAACTTTTTTATTCTCTAAATAGGACTTAATAATGACCTAGTGGAAAGAATAATGTCCTGTAATCATGAACATTTAGTTGAACAATGACTACTTGATAATGACCAAAGGTCCTAGATTGGGAAATAAAAACATATGGTCCTATATTGGGAAAGTCATTATGTTTTAGTCCTATTTAGGTAAATTACTCAAACAAAAATAAATACTCTGTATATCATTACACCCCCACTTTTCATCTATACTATTTATTTTATTATATCACATCAAGGACAAATATGAAAAGTCTTTATAATTTTCATCTTTTATTAATCTATGTGTCAAGTCAAAACGAGAAAGGAATTATTAGACGGAGGAAGTACATTTTTGCATTCTGGTTTTCTTTTCCTCTTTAACCGTACATGAAAAATTGTTTTACATTTCATTTTCTTTTCTTTTCCCATTCAAATTCCTTGAACCAATGTGTGGATTAATGGATTCCAGATATTCCCAATTTTGCACGGGTTATGCTTCGCAACGCACGAGGGAGACAAGAAAGAGGAAATGAAGAAGCTTGTGGAAATGATATCTCCATTGGAAGATGTACTGTTGCTAATAAAGAGGAAAGGCAATAATAAATTCTTTGGAGGAGAGAGGATTGGGTGGCTGGACATTGCTCTGGGAAGCCTCGTGGGTTGGTTCAAGGCGGTGGAGGCGGCGTGTAACGGCGGCGTCGAGTTGTTTTTCGAGGGGAGTCCGAGTTTGTCCCGATGGTCGGAGGATTTCGCCGCCGAGGATGCCGTCAGAGGCGTCTTGCCGCCGACAGAGGAGCTGGTGGAGTTTGCCAAGGGGTTCTCTGAGATTCTGAAAGGGGCCCGGAAATCCAATTAGCCTTGCAGCTGCTCTGATTTGATTTCCTTGCCTTTCTTTCTTTCTTCTCCTTCAATTCGGGTTTCAATTTAATTGTCTCTATTGTATTGCTGTGTTCTTTGTTTTGTTTTTTTACTACACTGTGTGTCCCTACTCCCTACGTTATTACAATAATATTAATATAAAGTTTGTTTTAATGCTAAATTTTTAAAGAGACTTCAACGTATGTATGTATTTCGTGATATCTTTGGTATGACTGCAAGGGTGTTCATTATCATGTAGAACTAATATTTCTAATCATGTCTAAACTACAATATAAAACTTGTCATGAGTACGTGAACACCGACCTGATTAAATATAATCCCACAAATGAGAATGTTTGACATTGACTTTTGTTGATAGTAATTGCAAAACAAATGACTATTATGTTGGAAATTCTTTTTCCTGACACTTTAGGGGTAATCTTGGATCAGACGGTACAAAATTTATTCGGAATATGTAAACTTTTTTCCGACTCAATTTTACGAAACTACAATAGACCCATGATGTTCTTTCACATCACTTCAATGATTAATCTCAGCTTGTACCATTACACAACCTAAATGTTTGGTCAATAATTCTCAATAACATAATTGGTATTCCTTTTGTTAAACGATTTTGTGGTTTGGGATCCCAAACATTTGTTTTCGTTCAAAAATCTAACTATTATCCAATCAACATCAACACCTACATCTGAATATGAATTTAGTATTCTCTCTGTTGGTAAAATAGTTCCTATATATTTTGACTTCTGGCACATTTATTTTTGTAATTTAACTTTCCAATTATATTTTTAATGTCAAAGAAAAAAAAGAGAGAACTTATTTAAATAAATTATTATATCAATCCAAAATGAATGAAGTACATTGCAACAACATTATATTATTTGAATATATTAATCATTTTTTATTAAAATAAAAGTGTTTTGTTGCAAACAAAAAATTGATACAGAAACTGTTTTGAAAAAGAGTGGGGGTATCATTAATGATTAAATTTTTTGTCTAATTTGATTAAAAATTAACCAAACAAATATAGTTAGTCGAAGAGAATATAAATTTTTTTTAAAACTTTGCAAACATAAAAAGGAATTCAAAAATTTTAAAAATTCCAGCAAGAGACACACAATTGATTGACTTTGATATCGATTGGATGAGGGACTTTACAAAAATTATAAAAATTTCTTGCCCCAAATCATTTACCTTAGTTTGATTTTCATGTTAACTTTGATAATAAATTATGAAAAAAATATATTTAATAATAATATAAATTTATTTAAAATAATTGTTAGCAAGTATTGTTTTAAAGATGGAGTTTTTATTGTATCAAATTTTTGCTACTAGGTTTCCCCTCTTGGTGGCTTTGGGGCACGTTGGGTCAGGCTACTTTAAAAGATGTCTCATACATAACGACCAAACATGAGAAGACGTGCCTTGACAACCAACAAGTGTTTATACCCTTTCAAATTCTCTAGATATGTAATGCGAGGAATTTTCTTAAATAACAAATATAATGACTTTTCCTAAATAGCACTACATGTATTTTTCTTCCTAATGTAGCACTTTTAGTCATTATTCAAGTAAATATTCACCATCACTGTATATTATGGACATTATTAAGTGTTATTTAGGAAATAAAACAATGTAAGTGCTATTTAGAGAAATGACTTAAGTTTTAGTGCTATTTAGTGCAAAAATTTCTATCTTATGACCTCGAAGACTTAAATTTACTATTAAAAAAATTAAAGGTAGATCTTGTTGGCGGTTTGCCTTCTATATATTTCATGGTACTCCGTATTAAATTTCCTAGGGTTATTGAGTTTATTGATACTATACCCACCAATATTTTTGTTTTTTGATCAAAGTTAACATAAAAGTAAAAATGAAACAAATAATTTGAGACAGAGAAAGTAAAAATTTGATTGATGATGTTGCATGTTGCATCTAAATATATAAAAAGGATATCTCTTTTAATAAAAAAAACTATTCTACCATACATTTTCATGGTAACAAATACTCCGAGTTACTATTATTGGTACTCCCTCTGTCTCAATGTATTCTCGTACAGTTTAAATCTGGCAATACACTAATACAGTTTTTATCATTGCACTAGGCCTTCATGTATTATTCTTATTATATATATATGCTCCACTGCAAGTTGTATATATATATATATATATATATATATATATATATATATATATATATATATATATATATATATATATAATGCGTTCTTCATGCATATAGTAATTGTAATTAGTTTCTGTGTTTGAGAATTTTGTCGCGGAGTTCATCTTTCTTTGCTCCCACAACCTTATCCACCACTTTCCCACTCTTCATGAGGACCAATGTTGGCATGCAAGTCACATTAAACTCTTTAGCCACATCCTGTGTATACACATATATATTAAACACGTTACATATTTACATACTCCCTCCGTCCTAAAATTAATTTCCCATTTTGATTTTTGCAGTCAAAGTTTTTAAACTTTGACTGCATATTACGGAAAAAATATATTGAATTTTCATATAAATTTAGTATCAATAGATTCATTTTGAAACATAGTTTTGAAATATATTATTTTGATAATATATATTCATATAAAAATGAAGATATCACTGGTCAAAGTGCCGCATTGGAGACCGTGAAAAGTCAAATGGGAAATTAATTTTAGGACGGAGGGAGTATTTGAATATTACTTCCTTCGTCCCATAAAGATGTTCTCATTTTGACTTTTAAAAAATTTAAGAGAATAATATTTTTATATGTACTGCCTCCGTCCCAAAATATTTACAACATTTGCTTTTTCAGCAGTCGCGGGAACTTTTGTTTATTTCTACGTTTTCATTGCTTATTTGATAAAATAAAATATTTTTGACACCTCTTATTTCGAAGAACTTTTCATGTAGTTTTTTTGATATGTAAATTTTATTTTTTATTTCTATACCAATATGTAAATAAAATGAATTGAAAAAACTTGATATTTTACCTCGGGAATACAAGTGTGGCAAATATTTAGGGACAGAGGAAGTATATTGAGTTTTCAAAAATACCCTTGATGTGATAGGTAAAAGTATGATGTGATAAAATGGTTTTTTAATACAAAAGGGAAGAATTTTGTGGGACAAGAAAAAAAGAAAGGGGAAAGAGTTTTTGTGGCGGAAGGAGTGTATATTTATCAAACGTTCTACAAAACTCGATGTGACTTGATTATTTTTTTATTAGATACGACGACGATATATATTTATGTATACGTACGATGAGTTCATCGACGTCTATCTTGACAAAGTCGACATCTTTGAATTGAGCAGCAAGTTCATTGATAGGTTGTTCCATTGTCTTGCAAGGTCCACACCATGTTGCTGTGAAGTCTATAACCATCTGTATATTTACATTTCCCAATTAAAATCACCAAAACAATTGAATAATAAAAATACAAAGAAAAAAAAGTATGGTACTAATAATAAGTACCATGTACTTCATCTTTTCTTAAATAAATGTATGTGGGTTTTACACACCTTAGAGTTTGAATTAATGTGGACAAATATTTTCCTTAAAAAAATTGGACAAATATTTAAAAAAATTAAATACTCCCTCCGTTTCAAATTGATGTCATCGTTTCACCCAAAAATATCAAAACAAGAAAAATTTTCGGCAAAAACTTTTTTGTCCGTCTCGAAAAACTTTTCTTATTGCTATTAAAAAATCACTTTTACCCCTACTAATTCTTAACATACATATCACATCACATCTATTCACTATTAATCTACTCATCAAAACATACTTTTATTCATCACATCAAAGGATATTTTTGGTAACTCACACCACAAAACAAACCCCCGTCAAATCTCTTAAAAATCAAAACCTCTCGTGTTTCTAGGGACGGAGGGAGTATATATGTTTGGGACATGATTTAAATGATTATATTAGGAATTGAACGTAAGAAAGGTACCAATTTGTTGGTTTTCTTTGAGGCCTCAGAGTGGATTTTCCATTGGACGGAAGAGTGAAAGGCGGTGACTAAGGGCTTGTTTGGTGTGGCAGACGGGAGAAGGGGCGGCGGAGTTGTAATATTAACAGTAGCAGTAGTGGTGTTGAGTAAAGGCTTGTTTGGTGATGGTGCTGGTGCTGATGATGATCCATACGTATAGCTCCCTGTCCTGCGCAATGCCCCAAACGCGGCCCCGGGAGATGACGACGACGACGTTGGATTAGAGAACCCGCTCCCCATTAATTATAATTAACGAAGTAATTAATGAATTAGCTTAATTGGATAGTGTTGGAGTTTTATTTATGGGGACGCCAATAAGCTTTCGCTCTCTCTAAATGTATATATATATACCCGTCTCATCTAGCGGTGGGGGCATATATGGTAGATAGAGTATCTATTTTTTTTTCTAACTTTATACTCTCTATTATCTATCTCAAATTAAATTGTTTGTTTATTATTCGTCGGGTTAAAATTTTTTACTTTTTTCTTCTCTTGGTTTTCGCTACTTGCTTAATAAAATAATATAATCATGGCATCTCTTATTTCGCAAATTAAAATTTTTGATGTAGTTTTTAAATATATTATTTCTTTTTTAATTCTAACCCAATTCCCAAATAAATTAATCCATCCGTTTTAAAATGTTCTTATCAGTTACTATTAACACGGTCAAACTAATCACTTTTTTTTTTACATATTTTCGTTAGTTATTTGATAAAATAGTACTCTATTCATTCTACAAAATAGTATAATCTTATCATCTCTTGTTTTGTAAAATTTTTGATGTAGTTTTCGAATATATAAATATTATTTTTTAATTTTACACATACAATCAAATAGATTAAATTAAAAAAAATAAAGTCGGTCAAACTTGAAAAACCGAAACGGAAAAAGCATTTTAGGACAAAAGAAGTATATTAAAAATAAGTTTAGCCTAACATCGTAAATAAACCGAAGCATGTCGTTTAAATTGGACACATGGAGTAATATTTAAATTTAGTACTTACAATTGGTAATGTACTCCAACCTCCGACTCTAGGTTTAGGTTTGAGACTAGCTACAATACCTCATTTTTTTTAAGTATGAATGACTCGATAAGAATAATACATGGAACGTGTATAATTTGGCGTTGTGTTGGTAGTCCATATTATTTGGCATTATAAACTCTATCTTGATATAAAAACTTAGAAGTATTACTTCGTACTTCCGGGCATGCAATGCATTACAGTGTGTGAATAAAGAAGGGGTGTTGTACGACAAGACTTCTTCAAAAAAGGTTCTAAGAATTTGTTACTTTATTTTATGATATGGACACATTAAAAAAACATTTACAAAATCAATGGTTTGCTTTAGTAAAATATTCTTCTTTTTTAAAAGAGAGCCACTTAAAATTAAATATTCTTCTGGGTGGTGGGGGGATAAATGCATAATATCAACCCACAATATGGACTCATGTCTCCCTCCGCCCATTGAATTTGTCATTCTTTGTCCCTTGGTTAAATTTGACTCATTCTCTGTAATTCCCACTTATGTAACAATATACATAACTCTTCTTTCAAATTTGACCAAGTATAAAAGTTGCATTTTGTGTTAATAATATGATCAAGTAATGCAGATTGATGCTCAAACTGTAGTTCCATTTAAAACCTGTGTTATACAATAACTCATACTCCATATGTAGACCGGCAATAATTCGTATAACGCTTATCGTCGCTGGTGAAAATAATTTTTTTTTTTTCGAAAAAAAAAACAATCAAAACATATAGCTAAGACATGTAGGAGGAGTAGACATTAATTTACCTTCTGCGCTTCAGTATTTCTGCTTCCCCAACAGAATTATCAAAAGTGGAACAAGTTTGCAGGAATTTTCATTGGGGAGGACCAGATATTTATGAAACAATGCCACCCATAAGCTGGGAAACTGTTTGTACTTCCAAATCAGAGGGGGGGGGGGGG